AAATATGGTTATATGTTGGATAACCAACAGCAAATTCTTGGCTGTTTATATATATCCAAAAATATCCAAAAATATCCAACATATATCCAAAAATATCCATAAATATCCATAAATATAAACTGGAAGATATATATAATATCCATATATGGTGGATTTATATATTATATAACTATCCATAAATCATCCACCATATATATAGAATATATAAACAGATATTGTTGGTTATATATATATATATATCCAGATGGAATAATATTATCCCAGGGTGTTGGTGTAAAATCTTGGAAGATAATATATATATAAACAATATCCATATTTCTCCAGATGTTTTTTCCCAAGTTTGGTCGCCCGGCTCCAGGGTGTTCTCCAAGAAGTCCACCAGGTTGGCCGAGGACGTCTGCGCCGAGAAGTTGGCCGAGGCCACCTGGACCGAGGTAGCTCGCGGACGTCCAACGGTCCAAAAACCCGGGGATTTCCCTGGGAAAATCGTGGGAAAATGGGGAAAAAATGGGGAAAATCCATGGGAAATACCATGAAAATGGTGGGAAATACCATGAAAATGGCCATTGATAGATTTTTTTTTTGGTGGATTTCGGACGTGTTTTAAACCATAAATTCCATGGGAAATTCGCTGGAATGGGATATTTCTAGTGGGATTTCTAGATGTGACTCACTTGAAAGTTCGATAAACAAAAGAGTCCGGATGTGGTTCGATCATGCTTGATTTCAGGTGAACCATCCGGGAACATGAAGTCCTGGGAGTTGGAAGCACTTGTTTACAAGTCTTGGAGGAACCGAGACTTAGCATTCCTGACTGGGATCCACATGGGTTTTGCCTGAAAATATATAGAGCCCCTGTGGATCCACTGGTTACCATCTGGGTAAAAAATCATCATTTTATGGAAACATCCACCATAAATTGGCCAATCCATTCTTTTAAGACACATATCCATTCTTCATGGCTGAAATCCCTATTATACATGGATTAAATCCCAATGTTTGAATGGTTCAATATGTTCAATGGTCCAATGATTGGTGGTTTTCTCGGGAATCCCACATCTCCACACCCACTTTTGGGAGTCCCCTTGGCCCCGGGCGGCAAAGGTATCTCCGGCAGAGCCCAGGAATTGTTGGATGCCTACGGACTTGCCAACGCCAGTCTCACCTGCGGGAAACCCCAGTTGGGGGGTCGTTTCCAGGCACAGGTCGTTAGGGGAATCCTAGGGAATCCAATTAGGACCTAGCAACATAGGCACTGGGTGCCATAGCATACCTGGTATTAATGAATATTAATGAATACTCATTCAGGTAATATAATTGACCACCTTACCTTTCGTAATATTATGCCAGGCTATATTCATGACGTTTCCCGAAGTTGGAGTTCAGGTAATCAATTCCGTATAGGCACACGCTCTCATGCAGTGGATGAAGCTGATTGTTGTTCACACACCAGGATAAAGATCGCATCTGCAGCTTATATGGGCCAAAATTTTGAAAAGGGAGAGAGATGAGAGAGACTTCTGGGAGTTCCAAAAGTTGGTCATATATCCAACAAAATGTGATGTTGTCTATGCTTTTCCATTGTGTTTCCACAAAATATATCAACCTATCATGGTTTTAAACATGTTTAGAACATAATTTTCCCATATTTTCCCATCATTTTCCCTGCTTTCCAAGAATCCATGGCCGAAGCGCTGCGAAATTGATGTCCCGAAACTGTCCCGCCTGAGAAGAGCACGTGATAGCCCGCACTCATCAAATTTTCCACCTGGCGATTGCCGAGAAAGATGACACACCTGGTGTCAATATATGTCAATATATGTGTTTTGTTCAGTTGATACATGTTTATCCCATATATTTTATCCCAATGACTCATATAAATTACCCCTTTGTTCATGGTGAATGATCACTACTATTAGATGGATGAGTCATTGGGTCACAAAAATGGCATGAGAATCCCATGATTTCCCAAGAACTGACCCAGAATTCTTTTTGGATTCTTGGAGAGTTACCATGGATTAATATGGCTTAGTTAATATCATTTAATATCATTTAATATCCATGGATATGTTGGGATTAATATCATGGATATGTTGGGATTAATATCATTTAATATCCATGATATCTATAAGAATTGTTGGGGTTAATAGGCAATATGGGTTAGTTACCTCATTATGAGAGTCCTTGCCCGCATCACAAGCGCACCAGCAATCGCTGCATCGTCGTCTCAACAGTCGGCACCAAAATGTTGAAGAACGGAACCTGCGCCGTTCAGCACTTCCGCAGGCTTCACAGTGATGAAAGCATGGCCCATTGTTTTCCAAGATTCCCCACGTTGCTCTCCTTTTGACCCATAGAATTTCCATGGTTGCAGCGGGAGGTTTTTTCATAGCGGAAATTGATCTCATGGTGAAATCATGTGGATTCATAGATCGTTGGAGTTCTCAATAGATTCACTTCGGAGAAGATTTTAATTGCTATGTTACCCAGAAAAAATGTCAATGACTCATATTTTACCCCTTTGTTTTCATGGTGAATTATCACTACTATTAGATGGATGAGTCATTGGACTTTCAGGGTTATATACCAGTAAATTCGATGATTTTTGGTGGCTTTAGCCTCCCAACTGGAACATCGCACCTCGACATCAAAGGAGAAGGCCGGTACGATCTCCGACACGGGAATGAAGCATCCCTGCGATGCCAACTCGCCGACCAATTTAAGAGCGGGTTGCTATGTTGATATAGTTTTGGTGAAAATGTTGCTTAGTACCATTATCAATTATCTGGATATATCTGGTTAACAGATGTTAATGGTACTAAACTGCACTGGAAGCAACCAACACTACAGTAAAATGGTACAAGAACATAAAGCTCATTGGAAAAAGGGTATATAGTACATCAGGTGAATCAGGTGCAATTAATCTCTCATGATTTCTTATGACTTATGTCATCATTATAATCTCCTTTTTTTCGCGGTTTCAACCCATCCCAAAAACTGTCGTCAACTTACAGGTCATCTCCAGGGAAGGGGAAATGATTGATCATCCAACTGCTACGCCAACCCAGTTGGGGAAGAAAAGGTCTGTGAGTCACCAATAATCATTTAATGTCTTTTGAAACCACGCCTATTGAAGAAAACGAAAGAAGTACAGTTTGCTGCTATAAATGGGACAATCATACAGTGATGGCCCGTGTACTGTGTCAAATGGCTCTGCAGCACTTCCAAAGCCAATATCTACATGAGAAATATGGCACACTACTCTGTATTCCAAACAGCAACAACGAGGAGGAAATGATTGGAGAAATCCTTTGGGGCCCATCAGTGTTGCAACGCTCCCGTGATGGCAAGTGCCATTTGGTTCCACTGCGATCAGCGGCATTGGAATGCCATGTTTGCATGTAGAAGCTTCATAGAAGAAAGATGTTTCTGGCATGTTTTCTCTAGCTGCAGGTTTCAACCCGGCCCGACCAACAAAAATCCACATATTCCTCACTAGGCAAGCTTTATTTAGACCTCAAATGGTATGCCAACAGCATCGCGCTGACTTTTGGGCAAAGCATTTACGCCAAAAAACTGGAGACCACCAGAGCCAACCTTAGTACCTGAGATGGACTTTGAATTTTACAGCAAGACCTCCCAAGCCATGGACTGCTTCCTGTATTATTAAGTATTTCATGCTTAGAGAGTGTAAGTCAAATTGTCAGCACTGAACCATCAATTTTTAGGCAATCAAGGTTCACCCATACTGTTGTAAGACGCATAAATCACTACAGTCCAACTGGAACTAGTTTGATCTAGTTTGCAAAGCCAGGACGCCCAGCATACACCCTACCCCTTGCAATTATGTCGGGACTCTGAGAAGGGAAACTTTGATAAATCACTTTCGACTTCTTGCAGGAAGTCTTTGTTGAAGCGTCTGAACCAGCAGGTGGCGTCTCTGGTGGCGTCAAATCACCGGACTACATGCCTTGAATTAGTTGCACTGAATTGTCATTGGGCAGCTCAGATCAGCCCTGCGAGGGTTTGATCTTCCAGCAGCCCGTGTTCCAACGTGCAGCCACGTCTGCTAGCTACTAGCAAACCAGCAGCGGGATTCGCCACTAGATTTGCGGAAGGGTCGAGGAAACATCAATTGTTGCAGCGATCTCTAGGACGCACCCGGTTTTTTTCTAAATATTTAGGAACTATCCCATGCCATGATTCATCATTTTCCCACTGGAAAGTTCCATGCTGGGTCTAAGGGCCTACGGAAAAAAGGGGCTCTCGACCTTTCTTGGAGTCCGAGTCCTTGCATAACTCTTTTATTGCTTCTCTGGTTATATGGATGTGGGTCAAAATGGAAGACCTAGGGGACCACAGATGTTAGTCTAGTTTCGTATTAACCATCCAATTATTGGGGTACCTAATTTTGACCCATACCCATATAGTTTTTATCCAATCTTCACAGGTGTCAGACAGATCCTTTCGGATAAAATGGCTGGCTACACATCGTTCTATCTGCATAATTTGCATACTTGTTCCTCCCTTCTCACCACCAAGTAAAAGTGAAGTCGATGGGATTCAAGCTTGGATTGAATACATTTATATTACATTACATTACATGTTGATTTGTTCGAAAATGGCCTAAACAAACCACACAATCTCATGGTTGATCATCATTTTCCAATTTAAAATTGCCTATAGTAAATCCACGATTTCGGACAAACCAATATTCAAAGTGGACGATTTGTATTTCTAGATAAATAACCATAGTTTCATCTACCCAAATCACCACTAGTGTTGGATCAACAAGTTCTAGTTGATCAGATAAAATAAACATGCATATCTATGTGTGCCGTCTTTTTTGGTTCCAATATTTTCTCAAAATCAACCATATTAGATATAAAATCATATGAAATCATCTTTACGTCCCAAAAATTGCTGAAATCTCAATCCTTCCCATGTGAACTGTCCCATTTCGGACTCGCGTAGTTCAGCAACTCCTCAGCTGTCGGAGTTCAGCTAGAGCGTTCCGAGGCGCGGGACCAGCGCCGGCGGCGCACGGAGGTCTCCTGGGGGTGGAGGTGGTGGAATTTTCATGGGAATTTTCATGGGATTTTTTATGGGAATATCTGAGTGGATTTTTTAATGGGAATTTTAATGGTAATTTTCATGGGAGCAACTAATTTATGGTGAATTTGGTGAATTAGTTCACTTAACAGTTTGGAATGTTTGTTCCTAGTGCCGTGTCTGTGGCAATGGCCAGTCAAGAGGCAGGGAGGACATCTCAGAAAGTAAACAAACAGGTGAGTTCAAAAATCAAAACGGCTATATATATATATCAAAAAGAAACAACAATCTGGTTGATGTGCCTATGTATCTATCTATCTATCATTATGTATCTATGTACTATGTATCTATCTATCTGCCTGTGTGTCTGTCTGTCTGTCGGTCTGTCTGTCTATTTATCTATCTATCTATCTATCTATCTATCTATATCCATCCATCCATCTATCTATCCATCGATCTTATCTTATCCTATCTTATCCTATCTTCTCATGTCATGTCATGTCATGTCATGTCATGTCTCGTCTTGTCTCGTCTCATCGTCTCGTCTATCTATCTATCTATCTGTCTGTCTGTCTATCTATCTATCTATCTATTTATTTATCTATCTACCAATTCAAAAAAACTAGGTTTGGTTTACTAAGTTTACTATACCAAAAAGAACACAAGAAACACATGACGAATCTGTGGTTCCGTCACGCACCAAGCCCGGTCAAAGCACCTCCTGTAGCTCTTGCTGATCAGCTTCGGATTGTTCTTGCGCCAGCGTGTTCACCAGGAAGAATTCCTGCAAACTTTTCGGGGGATCCTTTTAGGTTTTTTCGCCATCCGGGCTAAAGAAAAATATCAACTGTAAACAGGATCCCCATCAGAAAATGTCAAAGATCAATGATACCAGATCCTGATAGCTTCATCCTAACAATAATCAAAAGAAAATCATGAAACGACCAGGATCTGGTGGGAAGTTTGTTTCGCAAAACTTCCGAACAATGAACCAACAAAATGATCCAGGCATCAACTTCCAGATGGCAAGTTGCCTAGTTTATTGTGGATAGCAAATACAGGGAAACCATCTAAAATATACTAAAAATATAGTTAAAATATGTTTAAAATATTAAAACTATGTTAAAATAATATGACTAAAATGTAGTAAAATATCCTATCATCCCATCAAACTCTGCCCGGTCCATCCGTTCTTGACGCGAAAGAGGGAAATCCCAGGCAAAAGCAATGCCATTCGGCGCCTGGAAAAATCGGAAGGGTTTGGCTTCCAGTGCGCCCTGTCATTGGAATACATCTGCCTAACTTATTCAATTAATGATTGCTCAACTCAGTGATAGATTGATATAGTGCGGCGTAGAGGGCTTAGAGGATCCGAAACTGAGTGTCAAGCTGGAAGGGTATGACAACTGAATAGAAAATCAAGAAGGAAACATTTCAAGCCAGATGACAAAATAACAAGATGGAGAAGGAGGACAAACAAGAGATGAGAGAAGAGAAATGACGATAAAATGAGAAGAAAACAGAGAGAAAATAAGAGAAAGTAACAGCCAACAGCGAATGTAAGGAGAAACAACACAGCAACTACCACCAAAACAGCCCTCACTAGCCTTCTGCAAGCGATGCATGGCTGGCCTGCATCCGGAGGCCCATAATTGCAGTGTTCTGTGGACTATTTTGGACAATGATATTCGTAAATTAGTGTGAATCAAGATAATGGACTTTGCGTCTATATCTATATTGCTCATCATATATGTATATATATATACATGCTGGTTGTTGATTTCAACCCCTCTGAAAAATATTAGTCAGTTGTTCACCTTATTCCCAAGATATGGAAAGTCATAAAAGCCATGTTCCAAACCACCAACCAGATACCCTCTGGTAAACTGTCACATAACTATGGAAAATCACCATTGTTTATGGGAAAACTCACTATTTCTATGGCCAGTTTCAATAGATTTTTGTATGTTTACCAGAGGGTATGTATGTATATATATATGGATATATATGATCAGTGGACCATCAATGATGACAGTTCATATGTATTGAAATCCATATATATTGATATCCATATGTATTTTTATATGTATATGATCATATATGTACATAGTGATGACAGTGGACCATCAATGATTTTCTCATGGGATCGAGGGATCCCATCAATATACCCCCTTTATGTAAACGCATATATACCAGCACCATGGATCCGTCATGGGATATGATATACATTGATATATCCACAACAAATGAGGATCAACCAACTTGTTTATCTCTGTTTCAACACACTCCATCTCCCACTTCGGATCCTTCGTGATTGATCAACTCCTACATTGCGAATATTAGATACTAGTACCGTACCCTTTAAAAAAAAAAAACGCCGAGTAGTCAATATTAAGCCATTACAACAGTATTATATGATATTATATATATAATATGTTTATATACATATATATATTATAACTAAATTGTAACCCAATAACCTATCGATTCATCAGTGGCTTTGCCCCAAATTTTGATGACACCTAAAATCCCATTTGGTTTGCTCTGCCAAGTCGGGCAGTCACAGGACAGCCTGCACCATTGGCAATGGATCATAGGTATACATAGGTCTGGGCAAATTATAATAATTCACTGATCTGAAATAAGGATTTTTTTAAGGCTATATTGGGATAATTTCCCGAATCCTAATCATCATTCAAGGCTTCGGTCGCAGTGAGGTCGTTATAATTACCCAGATGGTTCCTGGATTTTTTGGCCATCCAATCCTAGGATCCTTAGGATGCCTAGGATCCCAGCCCAGCTCCTGTTGCAAATGAACTGAACCAGGGCATCCTCACGCTCAAGGACGCTAGCTTCCTGCCGGGAACACCGCGCAAATTCGGAATATACAGAAAGAGGAGGCAACTATGCAAGTTTTGAATACAGAGCTGCTTTTTGAGGGGAAAGAGATATAGCGTATCAATCTTGGGCATGGAGTGTTTCCCTTTGTGGTTTTCTTTCAAACTATTCTCCTTCCACTTCCGTCTACCATGGCGAGATTCCAGCCAGATCACCAAGAAAAAACATGGACTGAGTCTGAACATGCTCGGAGACCCCATCCACTGCTTAGAAACCTCTTAGAAACCTCATGTTCACTAGAATTCACTAGCCATTTAAGATCTACCCTCTGGTTATTTAACATAGCCATGGAAAATGGCCCATTTATAGATGATTTTCATATTAACACCTCCATTTATAAGGGATTTTCCATGGCTATGTTAAATAACCAGATGGTACCATGTTCATCCATTTTCCCTAACACACCCACCATGCCCCCAGTTTTGCTCCTCAGAGATATCTTCATCGACCTGCAATCCGGTGTTGCTGAATGATTGCTGGGCGATTGCATCCGAAAAAAAGTGCGGTGAAGTAAGTCACTATAGATTATAGAATGGGAAGAAAAAAAGCGGAGAACATCGAGAAACACCGTCCTTTCATACTTCCCCGTAGTAACTGTCTTTTCTGCGTGATTTTCGGATCATCGTGATCAGTTTCCACTTGGAGATGGTTATTGACCCCAGTCCTGGTGATGGTAAACATCAAAAATTGCTTGGTGGTTTCAAATGGTTTCCCCCGAAACATATATTGAAGGTCCATGGTCAATGGGGATGATCATCCCAAATGCGGTTGAACATGAAAAAAAAACAGATTTCCAAAGCACCAACCAGCCAATTACTGGTTGGTGGTTTCAACCCCTCTGAAAAATATTAGTCAGTTGGGATGATTATTCCCAATATAATTATATAGATAAATAAAAAATGTTCCAAAGCACCAACCAGCCTAATCTAAAGATTTATATGCTGTCAGGAAATCCTAGTCTATCTGCTCCGACAACCTTCAGAACCTTTGATCAGCCCATTGTGCAGCGGGACAAAAATTCCCGTGGAACCGTGAAATTGCCATCATCTCCAGTGCAAACATCATCTTGCAAAAACATTGCATATCCCCACCACGAAACTTGTTTTTTTCTCTGCGGGGTCCATATGTTGGTCGAGTGTTACATTATAGGACGGGCTGTTCCATTTTTGTCGTCAAAATCAAATCCCAGTGTTTGTTGACTTTGGTTGACAGCATTTTGGGTTGGTTGAATCCCCATGTAGTCACTGGGTTTCCGACTGGCATCAATGACTCCATAAAGACCTGCGACTAAAAAGGCACACATATATGTATAAAATGTGTAATTTAAGTTATCATATAATACCCTGAAAGTCGACTCATTTATCCATTATAGTCATAGTAGTGATAATTCACCATGAAAACAAAGGGGTAAAATATGAGTCATTGGGATTTTCTGGGATATATATATATATACATACACACAGTTGGATGGGTTTAACCACCTGAGACCTTGGAGGCCTGCAGGGCTGCTGAACAACAGGTCCATAAAAAAAGAGGAGCATAGATCAGCCCATCAAACTAAGCCAAACCAGAAGCAAAAATTCGGATCTATAATAATGTGTACAGAGATCAGAATTGATAGTTTGATCTATAAATTAACCATATCATTGAGCCCATGTTAATAGTGGTTAATAGTGGTTAATAATGTTTAATCATGGCTGATAATACGTAATAACTGGTTGGTGGTTGAGCCACCCCTCTTAATCATGTGAAAGTCAGTTGGGATGATGACATTCCCATATATTATAGAAAAATAAAATTCATGTTCCAAACCACCAACCAGCAAACTATGTCGAGGCTCAGAAAGGATTCTTACATGAAAGTATGATTTACGACGCCAAAATTAAAGTTGAACACCAAAATGGGACCGTCCAAAGCAAGCAAACAGGTTCTTTTCCAAGGATAATCAGAATCAACATCTGGACAAATAGATATCACACCATGAGAGCTTCCCATCCTGAAGGGTTGTCCATGGCAGCTCTCTGCAGTAACTCCCTTAAAAAGATGCACAAGTAAGTTGCCACCATCAATTGAGTTGAATGTTGCTCTTCTATCCTGGGTAAAAAAAATGTGATGTCACGCGTTCATCCCTTCCCCCATCCCCCATCCCCCATCCTAGAGCCAAATAACCACCCAAACGAAGCCTTCTGGTGCTTTCAAGCCATATCCCATATGACAGTCCATCTGGGTCGTCATCCCATTTCTAGGATGGAAAATCAGAAATGGCTGAAACCGCCAACCAGCCATTTCTGAATGGTTTAGTCAACTGGATCTGTTCGCATCGGTTCATGTTCACATTCACATTCCATATTTTGGGTTTTCCGCTCAACATATTCCATATGCTGATTTTTATATTCCATGATTCATCTCCTATGTTTAATGATTTGTTTAATGGTGAATTCCTTCAGTGAATCCCCACCCAGGTCACCCATTGTTCATCGATGGGATCTCAGCCCAAAAAACACCCGCGCCTCCAGCGGTTCTTCCAGGCATTCCTCCAGGGCCCCACGGATGCTATCTCCCACCTCCACCTCAAGGCGTCCCCGGGGTCCCCGGCCCCGGCCAGGACGGTGAGTTGAAAATGTTAGAGGCTGCCTCTGGTAAACATACAAAAAGCTATTGAAAATGGTGATTTATGGTTGATCTACCTATTAAACATTTACCAGAATGGTTGATTTACTATGGTTGATCTACATGTTTTCACAATGGTTGATTTACCTAGTAAAAATTGTGGTGTTCCATAGTTAGGTTAACCGGTATCCAAGAATCAAATAACCTTTGAAGATTGATGTGAAGGAAAAATCCGAAACAATTCAAGGCACATAAATGGATGATCCCAAATAGATCCAAATAGTAAGTGTATTATTGGGTTTACTACATTACAAAAACGACCTTTGACGATTGATGAATAACCAGTATGGAACCATTTGCTTTAGTGTATTAATTGTTTGATATTGTTAACAGTTAATGACTATTTGATAACTATGTTATAATTGTGGCAGATTGTCTAGCAGTATAGCAACCCCAAAATAGATAGACAAGTTGACCACTGTGTTTTTTTTTAAATGAGGTAAATGTAAATGTCATGCAAGCATTTTGCTAAAACAGTTCTTTTGCGGTGACCCGATATGTATGTATGTAGTGTATATATATATATATGATATATGTGTATGGTTGACCCACCATAGCCTCCTAAATGATAATGAATTCCTACCCATAAATGGTGGCCACAGTCAAAAAAAACAGAGGGGTCTCACATTGGGTCATTTCTTGAGCACCACAGATAGTACCACCCGAACGCCATGGCTGGCTGAAGCATCATTCGCCATGTCGATTTCGATCGATTTTTTGGGATGATTCCCTTGACTAGAGCCATGTTTGGTGAGTTATTGGAATGATTTCCCCAAGTATGGTCAAACCTGGATACCCATGATACATCATGATACTCTCTTCTTTTTCTCAGCTGGCTAGCAAAAAACTATACCATTTACTCCAAAAGATTAAAGTGCTCAAAGAGCAAAAAAACGGAAAGGATCTCCATTTACTGCAGAGATTCTAACGGTAACATCAGCCCAAAGTAGGTGCTTACAGGGCTACGAAGCCGTGATGCCCGATGCTCTGAGCACCCCAGCCAGGTGACACTCCGTCCTGGCGTCAAAGATGGCGAACTCTGGGTCCCTGGCGCGCTCTCGGCGGGGATCAAAACGGGGTACTTCAGGAGATCAACATGACAAATTTGGGGGGTTCAAATTGAGACCAAACCTGTAAGTTATGGCAAAAGTCTGAATAAAGTGCAGGTAAAGTCCACATTGATATAACATGATATAACCAAGTGAGCAAGTTGGATGTGATATCCCAACCCCATTTGGGGGTCCAATTCTTGATTCACCTCTGATTAACAGACTGGTATCCTGTAAATACAGGCTGTTTTGGATGGGAAAGTGAATTCCAATAGCATCAACAGGAACCCTCGGGGAGCCAAAGCTAACATGAATTCCGGAGTTCAACTGATTTGTTGCTGCCATTCCATGCTGATGTTTGTGGATCCAATCCAATTTCTAGGTCCCCAAAAGGGCCAAATCGCCATAGGAATCAACTGACCAAATTCGCCAAATTCGCCTCTTAAACCATCCAATTTCTGGATATTTCTGGGTCACATGGGTCACAAAAAATTTCGAGCCAATCCCCTTCTCCCAGGATCTCCATGGATCTCCCAGGCCTTTCAGATGGACCAAGCAGAAGTTGAATTTCAATCCCACGCCTTGGCTCGACTCTGTCGACTGACGGGTTTTCATGCATCGACCAGGCATGGATATGCATGATATATAAACGATAATTAATTATAATTAATGATATATTAGTGATATATTAGTGATATATTAGTGATATATTTGATATATTAGTGATATATTTGATATATTTGATATATTAGTGATATATTAGTGATATATTAGTGATATATTTTATGATTTTATATGATATTTAACGATTATAACCCTGCTATCTATAACAGTCATTAACAGTCTATAACCCGGTTGAAGCCACGCTGCAACTGAGTTTGATCCCACACTGCAACTGAGACCCCCGGACCAGACCAGCAACACCTGGTTAATGCGGACCCACCAACAGTCGACCCGAAATGAGCTTGGTGGCTCAAGAGATCTCAACCAATGCTTCCCACTGATTGTTGCGTTTCCATGCTGTTCCGTGTTTTTCCGCCAAATTGGCTTCATCTGAAGAGAAAAAAGACCCAAATCGATGGCTTCAATCTGCATTCTCCCCATCTTTCAGCCTGCGCGTACACCATCGGGCCACGCTGGACCTCAGGGCTGTTAGGGCGGAAACTCCTGCGATAGATCCTGTCCCTCCATGACGGTAGTGTCGATGAGGCAGGATTGCCATGGATTGTACTTTCAAGTCGGGATTTCCGATTCTTAACATATATATATATATATGTATATATATAATAATATATATATTAATTATATATATACATATTATAATCAATATATATATATACATATTAATATATATATATATATATTATATTATATTATATTATATTATATTATATGATATGATATTATATTATATTATATTGTATTGTATTATGTTATATTCTATTATGTTATATTATATTATGTTATATTTTATATAATATATAGTATATAATATCTAATATATAATATATAATATATAATATATAATATATATTGTATATAATATATAATATATAATATATTATATATTGTATATACTTTATATTTTATATTATATATTATATATTATATTATGTATTATGTATTATGTATTATGTATTATGTATTATGTATTATATATTATATATTATATATTATATATTATATATTATATATTATATATTATATATTATATATTATATATTATATACATACATGTATGACAACTATCAAGCGTCACTACGTAGTCACTACAACCAGAGGTGCAGGACTCCTAAGAAATGAGAAGTAATGTTTGTAAATCAATGACAAACCATGATAAACCACCCATATTTTGATGGTTTATACCACCCATTTATGGTAAAGTTGGTGCACTACTGCTTTACTAGCACTAATTCGTGATGTTGTTAGCCAATGGGGTTTCACATCAGAGCCTCTTCAGAGCTTCAGCAAGAAACCTGCCAAAGCTTCAGAAAAAGTTGCTGTACCGAGCCTGAAGGTGGAGAGTTCTCTTCTGACATCCTATAGTTGTGTTTTCATATTGTTTTCATAAATCGATTATGTTGTACTGGTAACCACAAAGGAATCATCTTGGACATTACTGGTAACCGCAAAGAATACAAAGAGTCTTGATAGTTTTCATGAGACTTCTGGATATATCGTTCCAATTCACTGAAGCACCACCGGAAAGATGCTTCAGCGACCACCACCGGGAGTCCGGGCTGGGAACAACGGGCTGGTCAGTCGTGGGGGAGCGCCTGATTTTCTCACAGCTTGGCTGTGGGGGACTGGGTTGAGTAAATAATTGATGGAGCTCATCTTCTATGTTCTTCTATTTTAGCGCTATCTCATTCTCGCATTTTCCAAGTGGCTAACTATGGCGCCATCGAATGGCGCAAGGTAGCATGAGAAAAATCAAGAGAATATCCCATAATGGATGGTATTTTGCCCACCAGTTACTGTAAAGTGTCCTCTCTCTCTCTCTCTCTCTCCCCGTGTATACTGTACCTGTATACATATGTGTACTTATAAATTACATATATACATAATATATATATATATACACACTAAATCTACCCTATGATGTGTTAAGGGTGCTCGAATAAGTTTGAGAACAATGCGAAAAAATTGCACTGGTGGTCACAATCTGCTTAAATTCTCCACTGCAACGGGCAAGAGAAGAGCTCAAACTTGGGATACAAGTACCAGTTGACCAACAAATTTGGTTGTTTTTCAGTGCTCGGAATGAGATAGATTGAGCCACAGCCATGGCTAGACTCATTAGCTTCACTTGTTTCAAGCCATACTCGCAGGAAGCTGCTGCTGTTCTCCGTCCACTCCGTTGGGGATCGAAGTGGACCCTACTAGCTGATGAACCTGTCACACTGTCCTCCTTATGAACATTTACGAAGAAAAAATGCTGCAGGATCTCTAAATCAAGCAACCTAATTCAGCAGATTTCCTGGTTTCATGCTGAATTTCAGGAGACAGCAACAAGAAATGGCTCAAAAAATGACAGCTGAGATGGAGGAATCACCCAAAATGGCAGCTTGTTAAGACATGTTAAGACCATGATTGTCCAAAAACCATGGGATGGCATGCCTGCCATGGCATGGCTGATTACCACATTCTCAGACCCAGTTCGGACACCGCTCCACTGCCACCTTGAAATTCCTGCTGCTTGGCAAACCACTCCTGAAGTCGACACTGAAGGCGCTGCTGTGCACCTGATGTCTGGTAGACCAAGCTGCACTTCCATGAAAAGCTGGAAAGGGAGCAATATTCCGAAATATGTCAATTGAGTCATATTTGACATCAATTGAGACTATTGAGACAAATTGTGATACCGAATCTGAAGTATTGTCCTATACCTTGACTTGTCATCATATTTATATATTGACTATTTGTCCTCAATATGTCAATATTCCAAAAATATACTATTCCAATATCCAATATTCATATTGGAATATTCAATATTTATCCTATATGGTTCTATTGTATTGTATCAATATTCCATAAAAATGATACCCTCTGGTAAACCTTTACATATGGAAAATCACCATTTTCAATAGCCATAGGATCCATGGTGCTGGTATATATGCTAACAAAAAGGGGGTATATTGATGGGATCCATGTTACCATATATAGCAGACACGGATCCTATGGGATACCCTTTGGTGAACTAACATAGCTATGGAAAATCACCATTCTTAATGGGAAAATCCACTATTTCTATGGCCATTTTCAATTGCTATGTTAGTTCACCAGAGGGTAGCAAACTGTAACAAATTACCAGAGGCTACACGTTTCATCACTTTCCAAAACGAGGCCTCCAAGGTGCCGTGGCTCGTGACGCTCGGGACGCTCGGGACGCTGACCATGGCGGTCAGCGCTGGCCCGCCTCGCAGACGCAGCGACCTTACGGTGGCATCACGGAATATCATGAGAATATCATGGGAATATCATGGGAATATCATGGGAATATCATGGGAATAAAGTTTCTTTCTTTCTTTGCGAGCTAAGCAATCCGAATTGGACTGCGCTCAACGTGAAACATTAAGAATAAGAATTCTCATGCAAGACTGAAGATTCGTGCCAAAAGAGCAGCATGGAAATATAATGCAATAATATCAAGATCCACTTTATGGGAATATCCCAAAATGTCATATATCATGGGATATTATATACATGGGATGTGTGTTTGCTTAACCGACTTAACATGTTTGTTATGATTTGTTAAAAAATGGGGTCATCCATGGCGTTTAAAATGGCCATGAACTGGAATTTACCCCATTGTCGGACACCCCCAGTTCCAAGAGGTGCTTCAACGAATTGATAAAGATCAAAAGGTGGTGGTTCCCAAGATTGGAGAGATCTGCAAAACACTTCAGTTGGCTACTTCAGTTGATGCTTTGTTTGAGGGTTTTTCCAAGGCACCACATATTGGTGAACACAAACAAAGATCTACGACCGTGGATTTTGAAATGATGGAGATATTGACAATGGAATGGATGCTCCGGAAAGGATCTCCAACCGGTGGATGTGCATCGGCCCATTTTTCCCTGACAAGGCAATCTTCTTGTTGACATTCTTTTACAATGCCATCCTGCTGTCATTGCACGGTACGTTTTATCAATTCTGTCGATAATCCTCCCTGAAGCGTCACGATAGGAGTCAAAGTGGATTAGTAAGCATATAATTAATGTATCTATATATATATTATAATTATATTATCACAGAGAGGTGCACAACAAGTCTCCTAAGTGATTCCACCATGAAACAATCACAACACCCTCGTCTGTTGCCAGGGGGGGTGAGGCACCTAAAAAAATAAAATAAAATGCAGGGGCCTAAGGAGAAAATGCCAATAAAATGAGAGGGCATAAGGTAAGATAGGAAAACCGAAGCAAAACACAATGGACAGGTACAAAAAGAAAATGACGTCAGGCACCCTCCACCTGGCCACTGTTGGACCTACATTTTGCACCTGTTGGACCACGGGCTCCGGCATTTTCTTTTGGGTTGATCTTGTTTTGTCTTGTTTCCTTCTTTGATTGGTTTTAACCATCTTTGAAGGAAAACCCGAAAACCCCCAAAATGGCAAGACCCAACTGATCTGTACAGAATAGATTGTTTCCCCAACTGCCAGGAAGTGGTATGTATTGACACGCCAAAACAGGCATCTCAAACCAACCCCCAATATAGGCACTATAGTGACCTAGTCTGGAAAATTGAAAGAATATATCCTACAAAAAAAATGGGGGTGCCCAAGGGTAAGAATAGCAATCCTCATGCGGGTGCCTTAGGGGCCCCCAATTTCTAGTGGATGGCAGCCATCACAAAGACGCACAGCTGTGCATCTTTGCTATGATGCTATCTCTGTCAGTTGACTTGATGGGTTAGGCACCTCAAAAAATAAACTGCACCCACAAAATAAAATGCTGGGGTCTGACCCATTTTATTTTCATTTTATTTATATGTGTTTTATTATAAAAGGGGCTTCTGCCCCCTCATTTTATTTAGGTACCCCAATGGGGGGTTCACAACGTGATTTGCCGGTTTATCTTTCCCAATCTTTATTTTCTTTGATATTCAATACCATAAAATCCGCTTATGCTTGTTGATCACATCCCATTCATACTGGGTTTAGCGAATCCCCAGTGTTACTTTCAAAATCTCCATCTTCTGCGTAGATCCTCATTTTTGCCGTGTAAATCCTAATCTCTGGGTAATCACAACATTTGCTTGGGAAAATCCACCCCCTCTCCCAGTATCTGATGATTTGGCCAGTGCCCAACTTCCTACTTCCACCAAGTTCCCAGCACCCGCCCCTTTTCTGAGCGTACCTCCTGACTCACGCGCCATTGTCCGGCAGCTTCCATCTCAGCGACCCATGGAAAGTCGGGGCCGAGTTAGGCAGCGGAAAAACAATAAACCTCCGATGACTGGGGTTGGTTGGAATATCACCCATAAAAATGCTGATGATTTGGGGATGGTTTATTTTTCATTGGCTTTGCAACATTCATGACAAGGTGCGATCTATCGATTAAAAACTGCATTCGCCGCTAAAATAGGATATGTTTCTAAGAATTCTTGTCCCAAGAGGTCAAGTCTGCGAATTTCCAGAAAAAAAAAAACAAAATCGCCGGCGTCCAGAAACATTTTTCGCCACGAAGTCAAGGGGCGTCTGAAAATGGGATGATGATGATCAACCATCAATTGAGCTACCCTCTGGTGACTGTTGCAGTTTGTTGAAGCCATGGCCCAGTCGAAATAGTTGATTTACCCAGCTAAATGGTGATTTTCCATAGCGAACTGTTAGTTTACCAGAGGGTAGCCTATTTTCAGACAAGGCCATTTGTCTATTTGAATCATCTTTGCATGTGAAAAAACATAACCGTCATAACCTTGCATAGCCATGGGCTAGGCTTTCAAGCACTGGGTTGCTCTACTCTCCAAGGGTCACGTCCCAAATTAGCTGAGCAGAGTGTGTAATTATGAGGCTTTCCTTAGTCATGGGGGTACCCCAATAGCTGGATGGTTTTCATGGAAAATCCCAAACAAAAATGGATGATTTAGGGCTACACCTTCAGGAAACCTCCTAAAAAACTATCAATGGCACGTGTCGTCTCGCCGCCCCTATCCCCATTGGCTGAGTGGACCAACATGGGGATCGATTAACGTCATTGTGTAATGAAGATGTGATAAACTATATATGTAATCGATAATACTGTATACTAAAATTGTAGAATTAGAATTATATTGTAGAATTATATATATATAATTATATAATAAACTATAATAAACTATAATAAACTATAATAAACTATATCGAATGCATTTGTCTGAGAATAGAGTAACCCCCGAATTTGTAATTGTCGATCATCATTTTTCCATCAAAGGATTGCCACAAATTGGAGGTACATGGCCAATTCTCAAACCCACATCATTTTTTTTTTGGTTTAAAAATGGTTGGTAATCCTCCTCATTGTATCCCCATTGCATTTAAGAGTTCCCCGAAAAAAAAAGCTGAAATCATTCATGTGAAATCCCATTTTTCTTGATGCTGAAATTTCAACTTTTCATGGTGAGCTCCCATACTGTTCCCATGTTTTGATCGTTTCCTGTTCCAGTTCCGATCAGTCCATGATGGCATCAGACCCAAGGAACTCCACGGTGTAGCAAGTCGCCGAACTGTTCGGCCTCAGCCCGTTGGACCGTTGGACCCACATAGGACGAACATTGGCATCTGCCTGGCACCCAGGGATCATGGAACATGGTTTTTAACCATGATCTAACTAGTCCAACTATATAGTAACTATAGTACATAAAGAATGAAAAGCGCTTGAACCAGTCAAGAATGGCTACTTGGCCAAGACATATCAAGAAATAATGGTGGTTTTGAACACTCAGCATGGGGATTTAGCCAACCTAGCCTTTCAAGAATAGTGGTTTGACCAATCAAGATAAGATGCGGATGTTAGCCTTTAGTTTTCTTTTGCATTGGTTGTCCAAAGTCAAGATAATACCATGAAACTGCGAACCATCCCCAAACAATTTGGTTCCTCCTAAAAATGACCAAAATAGTCAGTAGGTCAGCTGACTTCTCCTTTTGGCAATTGAGCTTTGACCATTTTGCGCCTTCGCAAAACGAGACAGACTTTCTTGCCAATGGAGTACAGGAAAAGGACAATGTCATCCCTCTGCGTCCGTTTTGTGCTTTCCCCATAAACGCAGCATTTAGGAAGTCATCCCTAAGTCGTCCCTTTGTTGCTTCGCCCAATGTGAACGCCACAAATACTTGAGCGTTTTCTGGCCACATTTTAGGCAATATGTCCGGATAATGTTGCGTTTAGTTTGCGTTTTAATGGTTTAAAACCTTTGCACATCAGCGAATCGGAGATACAATCCCCAATGCAAACGCTCGAAATATCAGGAAATAATTTGATAGGATAGTTTGAATTCTTCAAGGCATATTGCATAACTTAGGGAACCCCTGCATTTCTAACTCACACTATTCAATGCCATGGTTGGGTGGAAAACAACATCTAAAGTTTTGGTAACCTGCACGGCCTTCATGGCCTTCACTGCCTTCATTGAACTCGACTTTGGCATCTCCAAGAGAGGCAAGGGCGCACAGGAGGGTTGGCGGATAATAAAAATGGCTCCACAGAAAATAGCTGTCCCCGACCTAAACGCAACATTCAAAATATCTAGGTAACTCTCTGAGATCCTCAGTTCCGCAAGTAAACGCTGCATTTATCATATGTTCAATCAAAAAACATGGATGCTGCAAAATCCTGCATTCAGCTTGCGGAAAGAAGACTTTGTCATTTGCCTGTATATAATGCAATGGTAAAGAGTCGCAGACTGCACCTATATGCAACATCATTCGCCCTCCCAAGTTCGAGAACGACCATATTTGGTACCGGTAGATCATCCGTGTCCCAATTTCAAGAAACATGTCAATAAAAAGCAACAATGATATCTTTTCGGAAAAAAAAACAAAACTTCATACCCCCAGGTGCATGTGCACCTTCCACACCAGCTTTAAACATGTTTTTCCAGATCCTCCAGATCTAAAAAGCACTGGGTGGAGCCCAAGCACTAGGCTTCCCGACCAAGATCGTAGCATTGGGGGCCCAGCTCGTTGGCCTTGCGAAGTCCCCATCTGCGAAAATATTTGGGTGTATCTGTAAAAAATTGCGTAGGTCCACATATCTAAGAATCTGTCAGAATCTACAGTATCCTATTGTGTATAGGTGTGATCCTATTTGGGTGTATCTAAGAATCTACAGTATCTATTTGAATCTGTCAAATAGGGAAAATGAATGAACTCCCATCAAAATCATCATTAAATTCCATTGCAAATGATGCTTCAGCGCTTCAGCAATGGATTTTAGGGCTTGAAAAAGACGAAGACATTGCCGGAGGTGCCGGAGATTTTAGTGGTCGAGTTCTTGGAATCTGATGTGACTGGTTGGCCTTCTCCAAATAAGGTGCTAAGTATGATCATACCAAACCAGTGGTTAATGGTGGTTAATGGTGGTTAATGGTGGTTAATGGTGGTTAATGATGGTTGATGATGGTTAATAATGGTTAATTATTGTCTGGTTGGTGGTTGACCTACCCCTCTGAAAAATGATGGAGTGAAAGTCAGTTGGAATGATGACATTCCCAATATGATGGGAAAAATAAAATTCATGTTCCAAACCACCAACCAGTAATCTAAGGTGGAGTATGATGGGGATTAGATTGAGAGAGTGATGGGATATAAAGCAACGATTTGTTTCGATGCGTTTCTCCCAAAAAGGAGCATCATCCCCCAGAACCTCTCTCTGACCTCCAAATCGAAGGGTAATGACTGAACTCAGACGTAACTTGCTGGAAAATTCCCCGTTGCGTTGTAGATTGTCCTATGAGCATCCCACCATCCACCATTCTGGCACCATGGTACCAAGGTGTTCAGACATACCTGAAACCACCAGCACAAAAAGTACATTATCTATCATTATCTCATCCCCATTTGAAATTAGCATGTTTCTCAATAGAAAACCACTGAATTCCAGATGACCATCACTGACCATCACCATATCCCATGGCTTCTTGCACGGTCCAACCTCTTTTCACTGGTGCTGGTAGCACTGGTGCTGCTGGTGGCGCTGGCACTGCTCGTAGCGCTGCTTTGCTCAACCTGTGTCGGCACCACGAGCAGCGTTTCAGGTGTGATCCTATTGTGATCTATTGTGTATAGGTGGTAGCACCACCAATTTCTGTACAAACAGGTTTACAATTCCAAACATCTGTATTATCTAACCATAGACTATAACTAACCAGCCAACTATATACTACTCCAACAGCTGGGATCAATTGTTGATAGCTTGCAGGTAATGTGGTCCTGGGCTATGGTGGGCTGTGATATGCTACTGTGCCGCTGTGTATCCACAAAGTGGGCTACAGAAACCATTGCATATCAAGCCTAAGTTTTTTGCAAGTTATTCACTTTCTATTATCATCTATTATGTAACCAATCCCTACTTTCTCTGTACTCTTAAACACCCCCCCACACCCCTGGGACCATACAGCGGAATTGATCTCCAACCACCTCTTCCAGTGATGATAAAAATATTGTAAAAAAAATATTATTGTCTAGCTTCCATAGCAATATTGTAGGTTCCTTCAGAAAAAGATAGACAATCTATGTCAATGTGTTTATTATCTACATTGGGGCATCATCTCCAATCGCTATGACTCAGAATCCGTCACAAACTTGCTCGCAGCTCGTCCCAAGCAGGGAAAAAAAACAAGGCCAAATCGGCGCCGGTCACCGATGGGCACCTCACTATGTCGGCTTCGACCTTCGCTGAAGTCATGCGGGGATAGGTCGACACCTATCATTTTTCCATGTGAATGCGGGGTTCTGAACGTCGATTTTTACAAGAGCTCGATTGATGTGACAACCGGAGTACCACAGGTTTGATCCAAACCCCCACTTCTGTGGCTGGGTCTGACCCCAAGATGATATTTATGGATGTCTGGTACCATTGGGTAGCCCTAAATCCATCGGTCAATCATCATGTTCCCTGTCATCCCTACCATCCAATTGCCATTTGGGAGTATATGTCTTTCTTGGTGAAATGTCCCGTGGCTAGGGATTGCCATGCTTCCTGTGCCAACCGGCTAAACCATGGTGCAGTTTCCCATGCTCTATCCACATATTGAGAGGTTTCCTGTGAGAAATCTCAACCGAATCAGCCACAAGACATGCTTTGCCGGACTCGTGGCGAAGCTCTCTTGAATGCTTTGCACGTTGCAGGAGGATCACGTGACAGTCCCAAATGGGTCCAAGTGGCTATGCTGAGAAACCGATTTTCACTCAGTGTGGGGAGGAGTGAATTGCTTTTCTACAACAAACTATGGAAAATCACCATGCTATCAATGGGCAAATCCACTATAAATCACCATTTTCAATAGCTATGTAACAAATTACCAGAGGGTATATCCCATTAAATCCCATTAAATCCCATTAAACCACCATTTTCCTATGGTAAATCACCATTTTTCATCAGCTTCCCACCGGCCTCGCGTGGGCCTTTTCCGACCGGGCTTGGTGGCCTGAGCCACAGGACTCACATGCCGCGTGTGGAGAATTCACTAAGCCCAAAGGAAACTCTGTTCCTTTCCAAAGGTGAGTTGAAATAAAGCCATTTCAAATTTCGGGGTAGGTCCCTCATAGACATACATGCATATATATATATATATTATATATTATATATATATATATTATATATATATATATATTATATATTATATGCATATATATATATATATTATGCATATATATAAGCCCCTGCCCCTGATCCCTAGGAACCGCTGGCTATATATTTTGTCTAATCATTTTAATCTGGGAATTTAATATTACCCAGTCACACGGCAATATATATATATAGGGGTATACCCGGTTGCCCATAGATGGTCCACCCAGTCGCAAGGATTTTTGGTCCATTGCTATGTTGCATTACCAGAGTGTGGCCAGGGGAATTCCGGAATTCCTCACCAAATCCCCCCAAAAAAATCACCATGAAATCCTCATTTGCTGGTCAAATCAACCTTAAATCCCCATAATATAGCCTCATTTGCTGGTCAAATCAACCTTAAATCCCCATAATATAGCAACCCCAAAAAAATAGAAAGGCTGGAAAGTTGGAAATATGAGGTTATATCATCCTGGAAACACTAGTCTACCATTTTGGGGCTACAGTATCATTGATATCATCCTAGAACATCCACGAAATCACCATGAAATCCTCATTTCTGGCTAAATCAAGCTTAAACCTGAAAAATTGCCGATCTAAATCAAACTTAAATCATCTTAAATCTATAATCCAATCCCCCAGAAGATCATGATCGAATCTCACCTTCGAAAATGCCATCAACCGCATCACTTCAGGCAACCGCCTCGCCTGAGTGGCTCCACCGCGGCTCCGGAGAGCGGCAGCCAGGGAATTGCGGTCCTCGGATCCCCAAAAAATGTGGTGTTTTGGGGGTGAAACCATGGCTGTTTTCCATATCTTTTGCTATGGAAAATAGCCCATTTATATCCATTTATAGTGGATTTACCCGGTATGATAGCATGGTGATTTTCCATATCTTTTTGTCGGTTTACCCTGGGGTATTAGATGTATATTAGATGTATATTAGTATCTGTTAGAGGGATCCTTAGTCGATGTTGTTTAATGTTGTTCGCATTCATATTAATTCATGATTTGGGATGAACATGGAACCAGCCAAGCCTCCCAAAAAAGGAGGACCATCATAATCAAAACCATCATGAAACCGCGCACCCGCGGCCCCACGGCCGCCCCAACTTGGAGACCCAACACCTGTGGAGTTCTTGGCCTTACCTTTCGCACCTAGCGATGCCATGGCTGGGTGTACCACCAGCTGGGTATGGTGTGTATCTTTTAACATATTTACCTGAATTCTTGGTGTATCAGTATATATATATATATATCAACATTTGAAACTGGAACATATGTTGATTTCCAATGTTTGACGTGTAAACATATCCTTATGTTGATAGCTATAAGGTTTAGTTATATACCCCCAATTTTGATATGAACAGACTCCAAATTTACACCTTTCGACCCAGCAAACATGTTGTTTGCCATTCGGAGCTTTGAGTGGATGGCTATGATGATCCAATAAAATTCTATGGCATCATCTCGAAGGGGGCAATCGTATTTAAAGTCTGGAGAGCTCATGTGGATGAAGTCATCGTCGTCGTCGTCGTCATCATCTTGGTGCCTGGGGTCTTCAAGACAGTTGACTGGTGGCAGAAGCGATACTGACAGTTCATTCTGCAATGCTACAATATGGCACCTTTGTTTGCATTGATGGATTGTGATCATGTGATATCATGTGATCTAATCTCAATATATCTCAATAACAAACAAGAAGTGTGGCACCACAAGCATCATCCACTACTTGTTGGGGGGTACAGTTCCAGTTATAAGTGGAATCAAATTATATAAACTCTACCCATGGGATATCTCAACTTATGGAGGTGAACTCCATGAAGCCCACAACTTCCCACAAGCTCCGCACCTGTGCCCGTCTCCTAGACTTGGAGTATGATCCCCATATGGGGTGTAGCAGAATCCCCGAACCAATCATCAATCAGGGCTTTTGAACACTGCTCAGTTGTGCCATGTTGTGCCAATATACCAACACATGGCTTCCAGATGTCCAAAGACTCTGAGTCTTTTGTACTTAGTGAACTTGAATTAGAATGAATTAGAGAGCTTGCATGCGCGGCAAAGGCACAGACCTTTTCGATGCACCGAAGGAATGAATGATGGTGTATGGTAGGAGTCTGGTAAACACAATACCGTAGTAATATGGCCAAATGATGATTGTATAAATTAGGTTGGTAATTTATGGGATACATTGGGATGTTTTATCATTGGGTTTACGACTTGCTTTTCCAGAATGGTTTACAGTTGGTGAATGGCCCAGGTCAAATTCGCTGGCTTCAGGACTAGACTGGAGGACTGAAAAATACCTCTCGGTGCAAAAACATATTATAATTATATAATAGTATTATAATCCTGCAGCAAATGATCCGGAAAATCCTCCTCTTATAGATGTCCTATAGGGAAAACCATGGGTTTTCCATATTCGATGTTGATTCGCTGGAGGGTAAGCAACAAATTTATGTGGTGATTTATGTGGTGATATGTGGTGAACCGAAAGATGGGACCGGATCTCAGATAGCTGGGGTGAACTGAATACCTCCTCACGTTTATGGTGGGTTTGTCGAGGGAGCTGCGTTAATATGGGGCAAGATTTAGAAATAGTGGCGCTCAGTAGGGTATATATACCAAAATGTTGCGATATCATCAGGAAATGTTAATGGGCGGATGATATATGATGTAAAGTATAAAGTTATGCATTACTACGTTGTCAATTTGGCTACAAGTAGCGGAAATCAATAATTAAAGCCAAGGAGCTCCGAAACCCATGGTATCGGTTCTTTTCAGAGCTGCTCTAGCCATTTTCAACCCCAAAATTCGTTCCCTTGGGCATCTGAGTATCTGGGACCCCACTGAATGACCGGCCAACCCACCACAACCCATCCCCGAGAACTGCTCCTGAGCCCGACCAGGGCGTGGCCAAGCAAAGCCTCCTGAGGCAAGCCCGCTTCGACTGGGGTGATCTTCCCATTCTTGCAGAATGAACAATTGATACCCTCTGGTAAACTAACATAGATATGGACTCTATATATCTCTATATTGTGTCCCTACGAAACAATCTACAAATGGTTCATTTTCCACATTTATGTTGATTCATTGGAGGGTTTTGGATTCATACCCAGAGCATCCACATTATTCGGTACCTACACGACCAACAGCACCAAGGAATGACAATCTGTATACAACCTTGGCATCAACAACTTGGGTGTGAAGGGAGGGTGAAATTGTCGTGCCTACACCGCTCCATCTGAATGGTAAAACAGCCACTGATTGGCAATTGCTTTTCTTGTTTCACGTTGCTGGCATGGCAACAACAATAATGCAAAATAGTGCAAACATATCATCCAAAACCGAAGCAACAACTCATTCTGGCCCCGGTGTTCGGAATGAAGACCAAGAGTGGTCTTAGATTCGCTGAAATCAAGAATCAACCTCAGTGGATCCAAATCTGCAGCCACTAGACTGAGACTGGATCATATCCGTCGTCTTTTGTATGCTTGCACTCCCATGAGCCCAGCATCCCAAGGTGCAACCTTTTCTTCTGTCAGTCAGCTGTCACTGCCAGGTTCCTTTCCCTTCTGCTCGTCCTTTCCCATCCTTTCCAACATACAAACCTTTCCCCTCCCTCACCTCTCGTGGCTCGTAGCCTGCACCCGCCGGGGGGCCATAGCCGGAACCCAGGGTTCCCTTGCCCTTGGGCCCCACGTTGTTTCCCTTGGAGGACCCCCTCCACGAGCCCTGCGCTCCGAACGCTCCGAAGGCGCCGCCATTGTACCAGCTGCGACCCGACCAAGGCGGGGCGCCCTGCTCCTGCCGCTCCTGCCGCTCCAGGCGCTCGCGGCGTTCGGGGCGGTCGAGGCGTTCGGGGCGTTCGGGGCGTTCGGCCCAGGGGATCTTGTTGCTGCGCTCCCGTGACTCCCGCGGCTCGCGCGCAGGCGCATCCACCAAAGTGGGAAACACACGATGCTTCTCCAGCTGGTAGATGGCTTTCCTGGGAGGCAGCTAGAAGTGTTTCACAAACTCAAGCGGTTGAGGGCGTTTGATCTGTCAAGTGTTTTCCTGAACTTGCTGGTATCAATTAAAGCTGGTCTAGGATTTAACAAATTAGTGCACGTAATATGAATAGATGAGTTGTTTTTTTCCCTTGGCCCATTTAATTTCTTCATATTAATGTAATTACACTAGCAATTTCCAGGGTTTGGTTGCAACGCAAGGTCGCTGGAACTTCTGGAACCCAATGGGGTCGAGTTTCAGATTGGACTCATGGAAGAGCTCCCGAAGATTCTGCAGGTCTTCTGCGTCTGAAACTTCGGATCGGCGCGTCCTGGCAGGGAGGCAAGCTATATCCCTGGTCTTCCAGCTGACATCTGCGGTACTTGGATCATGCTTTTGGGCTGATTACCTATCAGACCGGAAGATACTCCAGCAAATAAACTGCTGGGGCCCGTTATGGATATTCATCAAGTATACCAGAACCAACATAGCATGGCGATATATTTCGCATCACATGTCAACCCATCCCAGCGCTACCCGGCTGTTGGGCTTCACAATGCAAGAAATGAATGTTGGGATGGACAGGTACAGTGAGGCTCGTGAAATGGTGCAGCCAAATGCAGAAGCCACCTTTGTTCAAAACTACGTGTTGGAACCATTCCAGGGTATATATGATGTAAATAACATGTAAAAATATGTAAATAATATATCCAATGGAATATATCATCCAGAATATCCACTAAATATATATATATATATGATATATACATGATATATACATGCATATAATATAATATTATAACTATACATATATATATGATGTAATAATGACCCCATGTACCTAACGAGTGCAGTGTATGCAATGCACGACATTCAACTACAATAGCTGAAGCCAAGGGGCAGCAAATGAAAGGCACGTCTCCATTCGAAACACAGCCTTGGATGAACGGGCGGTTTTATCACATTTTTGCGGGGCCTCTTTAAACAGTGCAGATCTTCCCAGATTCTGTTTTTCGTGGATGATTAACCTGAATGGGAAAGTCAACAAAGCTATGGAAAATGGACAATTTATACATAATATAGATGATTTATCTGTTAGGAATGGTGCTTGTCCATTGTTATTTTGAAAAAATCACAATTAGATCCCATCAAATCACAATAAAATCAATAAATAATCAGAAATCATGACCAAATTCGTCAAGAATGGTGCTTTTCCATAGCTCCCAGAGGCTTTTCCACCGGGCAGCCGCTCAAAGCCTTGAAATGAAGCGCCCAAGGAGCGGCCCAGTTCCATCGGGTCGTCGATGCACAAGACTTGTCGCTGCGACATCGCTTGCCTTCGGCGAGTGGCTGCACAGGGAGGAGGGGAAGCCAGTCAGTGGGGAAACCCAGTCATAGTAACTATAGTAGCTCCTGGGCAGTATGGATACCGAAAGCTAGATCATACCAGATAATGTTTATCAAGGTTTTTTCATGTGGTCAAATGGATCTAAAGTTTCGGAGAAATCCAAGGATGGCTGCCAATGGGAAGGAACCACGACTTTGGGAAAGGATCTTTACAACAATTCTGTGACCATCCAAGTTTGGGTATCAACACCTTGCAGCCGCGCAATGTCAATTCCTTGCAGTCCGTCTGTCTTGTTGAATGTGGACATATATAAGCATCATGATGACTGCCTCTGGTAAATCAGGTTTGGCTTGAAGCAACAGTCGTCACCAAATCCTGACTCTTGTTCATCCAGCATCAAGCTGCCAAACCATGCGGATTACCTACTGTCCCTCGTAGCAGCAAAGGATTTACCACTAATCTTGTAAACACTCCCATCTCTTCAATATGGATTGTATGAAAATTCTGGACTGAGGTGCTGTAGTTCATGCTCTTCTGGTGGCAACTTGTATTTCCTCAGTTCCAGCAAGGGCTACGAATCAAACCGCTGGCATTGAAGCTGGGTCAAGCGCCGGTCGAGTGCAATCCTGCGGCCTGTGTGAGCAAACAGGAAATGTCGTTGCTTTCTCATGAATCAGCCCATGTTACTTTTTAGTTTGACCGTCGCTTCACTTGGATCAAGTATGACAACTATAGAATCACTTGACATTTTTCACAGAACCAACTTTATAATCAATTTGATAATATATGTATACAGTATATTTTATATTACTAAATATTGTATTATATTCATGACGATATTCATATTATTTTCAGACTATCCAAATCCATCTTCCAGGAACATCGCCCCAAGTCGTGCCCAGCATCAGCGCCGGCGGCTCAAATTCCCCCAGCGGCTCCAGCAGCGGCGATGCCGGCGGCGGCGCGGCCTCGGCCTCCACGGCCTCGGCGGCCTCGACGGCCTCGGCCTCGGGCGCCTCGTCGTGGTGCTCGTCGTCCTCGTGGGCCTGGCGCAAGGGGACGCGCGTCAGGGCGGAGATGTTCTGAAGAACAAGAGCAAAAACAACAACATCATCAATATCAACATCAACATCAACATCCACAACCCCAACCATGGCTCTAACCACAACAACCACAAGCACAAGAATAAGAGCACTCAAAAGGTAGATATTGTAAGCAACTAGAAATGCAAAATACCAAAAAAAAATGCATCTCTTTCCAGGGTTTCAGAATGTTTCAGAAGCAACGTTAGGCAGCTTTCCAGTTTATTAAGGGGTTCAAGAACATGGGAAAGAGCACGCAAAAGGTAGACAAAAGTTATATTGTAAGCAATTTGCAAAGTTGCAAAGTTGCAAGGTTGAAGGCTTCAAAACTACAAGAAGCACCAAAGAGGACCAAGAAATGCCAAATTTTCAAGAGCATGGGAAAGAGCACCCTGGAAATCAAAACTACCCCCATATTCTTCCGGGGCGGCAGCCCTTAAATCCGGCGATGCCTCGCCGTGTGTGGTGTAGCCTGCAGCTAACTTTGAAAGCTACCCGAGGGCGCACCCCTCCAAAATCCTTCACTCTGGTTGTGTTTTCACCTGTGTGTGGGGGGTTCCACGGCCGGGAAAAAAGATGCTAAAATCATAAGGAGCTTTTGCAAGTCGATTTTGGGCCGTTTTTGAACAATGTTTTGATAATTGCTTGCTGCGCTCGGGAAGCAAAAACATCGTAAAATACAGTGTGTTTGTCCTTTTCGCACAAAGAAACTACATTTTGCAACATGGTGAAAGTGCGTAAATACCGTGTTTTTTGCTAGGCACGGGCACAAAAACATTGTAAATACCATGATTTCTGCTACCAGAGGCAAAAAACATCGTAAATACCGTGGTGTTGGGCTTCCGAGGCGCAAACAAAAATCAATATTTACGGTGTTTTTTTCCTCCGGGAGTGTCAAAAAAATGCGAAAACACAACCTATGTGACGATTTTCAGGGCCGGTAAAAATGCGACAATAAGATGTGTTGCAAGAACAACAAGAACAACAAGAACAACAAGAACAAGAACAAGAGCAAGAACAAGAACAAGAACAAGAACAACAACAACAACAACAACACCAGCAGCAGCAGCAGCAACAACAACAACAACAACAACAACAACAACAACAGCACCAGCAGCAACAGCAACAGCAACAGCAACAGCAACAGCAACAGCAACAACAAGCAGCACAAAAATGCGACAAAAAGAAGTGTTACAAGCTGCGGTATGAAAAGCACATCATACTGTGCTCTGCACCTGCGCGCGCGCGCAGAGAACATGAACAACACCAACACTCACACTACTATACATAACCCTGATGGCATCGCCGGAGTGCGAAGCTCTACAATAACTATAATTATTGGTTTATGGTTTTTGGATGATTATGGTTTATGGTAGATAAATGTAGAAAATATGGTTAATAGCTATAGCTCAACCATGATTTATGGTAGAAATATTGTTGATGTCAATGGGATTCATAAAGCAACTCATAACTGGGGGACTGGACCCTGGAAACCAATTGGAAACCACCTAGATTTGACATTTTTTTAGAAAAAAAAACCAGGTCGAACATGCTGAGCTTTGAGGTTTGACTTCTCCAGGTCGCGCCTCCGCTTCCTCAGGCACTTCGGGTCCCACAACTTCGGCCTGCTTTTCATGTGTACACCATCACAGCGGGGTCGTTCCCAACAAAACCAATGCTGCACACCTGCAAATGCCTTGTAGTACAGTATATAACTTCTGGTGGATGAGGATTTGCTAGTACCTTCACAGTCCATTGTGAGACATACTTAATCCATGCTAGCATGCCCCCAAGCTAAACCAACCAGCACCACGCATTGTGGCTTTCTGGTCATTGCAGTCTTCTAATTCACTTGCAGGCCAACTTCAACTTTCCTCGACAAATGAGACAGCAGCAGTAATCAGCAGTCCACATCACTACTCATGAGTTTGCCAGTCTTGCCGGAAGCTTTCTCACAAACAAAAAATGAACATTCCACTTTTAGTACGTGTTGATGAGTGCAAATATGAGCCATGGATAGCCATGGCATAAGCCCAGTTGTCTTGCGACCCCATTTACCAACTATCCCTTGTGTTCGTATCACATGTTTCTAGGCAAATAAGCATAAGAATTCCTCAAGTGGAAATAAACCACCCAATATGTGGAGCCTTCAGAGCCATTTTGTTCATGTTACTTTTTCGATGTCAAATCCCAATTTCTGGATATTTTTCTGGTGCTTCTATCCCAGTACAGGATTGTCAGGAATTTATGGAGAGTTTGTAGCAAATCCCAAGCAATCTCATGTGAGGCCACCAAACTGATGCGAATAGCGACAGGTCACAACTGAGGTTCGACATTCTGGAGATTTCTGGATTGATGATCCATGGATTCAATGTCCGAATCATTCAGATTTCAAATATTTTCGGTTGATTAGGCATCCAAACTTCCGAAGATAGATCATCCATAGTTATCCATAGTTCATCCATTTCTTAAACATACTTAGTGAGTTGTTCAATATGAATGGAAGAACCAAGTCACAACGTAAGTCACATCGCCACGGTGTTGGCACGGCACCTCTTCATGTTCCATCTCCACGGCCTCTGGAACCTTGACTTCCAAATCCTTCGGGGCATGGAAAACACTCATTGGGATTACATAGAAAAAAACATGAAAAAACGCCATTGGGTCCACATCACTGGAGAGTTTCCCCAATGGTGAAATTGATGGATAGTATTGGATAATAATGGTTGATTCGTGGGTTTCCTACTCATGTTCTGCCGAAACGGAAACATCAGTGATGGTTCCAAAACCTGGACATCAAGGGTAAGGATGAGGGCGCCGTTGCCATGCCATGTGAACGGATAGAATCGTCTGCTTTCGTGACACCCATGTTGTTTGGGCGAAGCAACCAATTTGGGTATTATTGCAAAGTTTGGGCTGAACGATGACGAGGGTGAGGATGATGATTGTCATAAGCCTCATAATGTCCACTATCTTTGTTAATTCGTATGTTCACTATCATCATCACAGTCACCACGATCACCATCATCATCACCATCTTCATCATCATGACTGTCATGACTACCCTCTGGTAAACAAACATAGCTATTGAAAATGGCCATTTATAGTTGATTTACCCATTAAAAAATGTGATTTTCCATAGTTTTTTGTAGGTTTACCAGAGGGTATCATGACTATCACCATTACGATGTACTGCTATCGTCGTGACCGCGGTCGGAACATGGCCGCATGGCCGGGTGTCCTTCTTGTGCCGCAGCATCTGTCGGAAATAATCCTGCGCGGTTGGCAGACTCAAATCACCAAAAGTAACAGATGGAGAAAAAAAAACATCTAATCATCTAATAGTGAATACCCCCCTTGTATGGTCCCAAGTAAGGTGATTCTGCGATTCTGAGGTATCCCCGTTTTTATTCCCTATTAAGCCATGGTTTCTTGGGGTTGCAAACCATATGAACGGGGGATTGTATTTTTAATATTGCCATGCTGGGTTCTGCAGGAGATAACTTTACTTAGGTACAAATACATTATATGGTGGGTTCTTACCCCCAAATCCCAAGGGTGAGTCGAACCCAGGCAGCCCCCCAGAGTTTGGGTCCCTTGGCTCTTGACTCCCTTGGCTTTTTCTGAATAGACTTCAGTATCCCGTTGCATCCACTGGTCTGTCATCATTTCTCCAATAAAACACATAAGCCCAAGCAGTATCCCCATCAGCAAGTTAGTCAGGTAGTCGGAAAGAGTGAAAGCAGCCAGTGAACACCCAACAAAAATCAACCCTGGCTTCTGGATGGGGAAATCACTCAATCACCCCATTTTTGCACCCGAAAATTGACCCGGCCGCATGGCCCCGACCTCTTTGTGGAGACTGGAGAAGCGGATACTAGCCACCAAGGAGTGAGCTTTCAATCCATAAGCCAAGAATTCAAAATATCCAGTGAGAAGGCCTGGCCACGGCGAGATGCTGTTGAGCCCAGCCCACCTTTTTGATCCTGCAAAAAGTGTCAAAGGTTGACCCGGTTCCAAGACCTCCAAATGTATTCACGGTTTCCTTAACTACAAATGCAAGATTCACCAACATTTCTGATCTTACGGTTAGTCACTTCGGTCGCATAAATGACACAAATTTGGAGGTTTCTTGGCCCTTGGGCGATCCCAAAAACCAAGGTCAATGCCGAAAAACATACTTCGATATTGACCAGAATCCAACACTTTGCCAGCACCAAAACCCTGCCCTATTTACTATTTACCTCCAAAATTAAAGCCCTGATATATTGATATATTTTGGAACACTCGGAATGCAGAGGTCCTAGTGATGACTTTTCTTGCGGTGAACATTCCTTTCCGAGTCAAGGCAAGGAACAGTTTCTCTCACCTGCTTCACCCATTTTGTGGATCCAAACCCGTACAATCCACCGAGAAGAACCATATTTTCGACAGGCTATTTTGATCATCTCAAGTTGCAATTTGACCTCTGGCATGACATCCCATGGCTGAGAGTACTATAAGCTAAAACCATGTGGAAATTTGCCGTGATCATGCTGGATGAGGTTGACTCCCGATGAAATATGATGATTCCAAATCCAGGCCCACTATGGCAACTACTGTAGCTTGTTAATAGGCCTGGCTAAAAATGCCTATTAGAAATAAGGAATCCCATGATGAATGATCATAAACCATATATCATGTTTTGACCCTAGCACATATATATATATATATTACACAGCACATGTGCATATTGTGGCTTTGGTACCATACCCTAGTTTGATTTGGAATGGTTCTCATTTTGAAGACGGAATTTGCCACCATAGACCATACTTAGTCCCATGTCTATAGTACCCTTGGTAAACTCACATAGCTAGGAAAGTGGCACATTTATAGTTGATTTACCTATTAAAGATGGTGATTTTCCGTTGTGTTACCCTCTGGCAAACTAACATAGCAATGGAAAATCACAATTTTTAATAGGTAAATCCACTATAAATGGCCATGTTCAATAGCTTGTTGTATGTTTACCAGGCCGGGTAGTTGCTCCCAAAGGGTGACCATTGGGTCATCGAAAATTTTCTGCCCGTCCAGCCCAGGCCATCCTCCCTGGCGCACCCCGCAGCGTTGCTTCCTTGGGCCGCTGCATGGCCCAGCGCGGCCACACTTCGCTGCTGCTCAGCAGCTCGCGGGGATCCAGAAACCACACGTCGTGGAGGCCGTCGAACATCCTCGGTGCCCGGTGCCTTCACCACCGTCTGAAAAAAACTGGGTGGAATAAAAAGGGGATCATGGGGACATGGGGAGATACCATGATATAGCTAAAACATATTATAATATATGGTCTGAAAATCTGGGACTCCAATTTAACCCCCGATATATATATAATATAATATATATATAATATAATATAATATATATATATATGTATACGTATTTTTTCCCACCCGAAACCATGGTTTTTCTCACCGATTCGGGCTTGGATGGATTCACGATGAGGAGCCGCTATGACGCCCTGAAAAACAGCACCCCAGGTGATGGTGGCACTGTGGGGATGACAGGCAAATATGACTGAGACATATATAGAATGGGACAGCATGGGGGTGACTTGGAACATTTTTTTTAGGGAATTGGAGTCTCCTCAATTTATGCCACTTTAATAGGGAAAATGCTGATAACGCACTGGATTTGGAGGTACACTATTCTCAGAGAAAACCCAGCTGGTGACAATGATATGGATTTCCAATAGGGGCATTATCATGCATTATCCCTAACTGCAGACAGTACAACCCCCATGACAAATCAACGAGTCACTGCACACCTATGATTTGCCCACATCCCCAGAGGCGAAATGGGTTGATTCAGGGAAAGTACCAAATTGTAATAATCCCCAAGGCAGAAATTATTATTTAAATAATATTACATAATATTATTGTAATAATACTATTATTGTAATAATACCAAATTGTGATGATTCTGATTATTTCGGAATATCTGCAAGTGCTGTCCATTAATTATAACCCGTCATGTGTTGAAACCTTGCTATATCATTGCGCTCTCTCTCTCTGTCTAGTGAGAAACTTGACAGCACGATGACTGGAACAGCAAAAATGATAGGGTTCGATTTTATTCGCTTCAACTTTGACGTCAAATTAGTCATCTATCTTTGTTGCAGGAGATGAGTCTGGCACAGGTGTTTTTTTCCACATATGGGGGTGCCCCTAAAATCCGTAGTAAATTCATAACGTTCACCATGAAAATCGCAGTATGTAACTCGTAAATTTCCCCATGTTCAGACGAACCCAAAAAATATGTGCAACTCGGTATCTCCTTGGGCTTCTGCTCTGGCTTCTCTTGAAGGTTTGGCAGAAGTCCGGTGTGCTGTAGGAAATGAAGCAGAAGGATGCAATGGGAGTAGGAGGACAAGGTCCCCTCCAGGGCCTGCGGAGCGCCCCATGGCGAACAGGCAATCCAGGATGGAAAGGCAAAATCCACCATAGGTAGAAAAGATGTGGTACACAGCTGGCAATCCAACATCTATATACATCTATTAATCTATTAGATTTTCACCGCACCATGAACATATCGATGAAAATAGATGGTGCGGATTGGTGCGGTCATTAGAAATGTGCTTTGCCATGGCAAAGTTGCCATGATGAGAGGGAATATGGACAAACCAACCAGAGCTTTTCTGGGTGTATACGATTCAAAGGGTCACAAATTGTGGAGGAAAATGGGACTATTTCATTGTTGTTTTTTTCAGGTGATACCACGGTAGTATTTCTTGGAAGGAGCCGATGATTGAAACGGCAACAGCTCAAATGGGTTAGCCAGTTCATAGCCACATGACACCCATCTTCTTGTGCCGTGTCGCTCACTTGCAAGCCCTTGAATCCCTATATGCTGTTGTAGCCGGGTCGACAATCCTTTCTGCGCATGACTCTGATGTAGAAGAATCTGTAAAAATAAAAACAAAAAAGTGAATCAACAGTTTGTTTGAGTCTGATGATTCCATTTCTATCATCAATCCGTCAGGATTGCTGATACAAAATCATTCATAATCATCGACTATGTCTTTTGATGATTGATTGTGAATGTGTTTGTGACATTACTAACATTACTATAAACTACAATGAAGCGAGTATTTCTATATATCATAGTATAATTGTAGTATATTATAATAGTTTGATACTATAATATATGTGACCATATCTATTTATATAATTTTATATACTAATATATAGACTTACATTAATATGTTTACAGTTAATACACATGCCCTCTTCGATCGGAGCTTCTCATCACTCCATCGGCTCCGGGGAGTTGCCTCGTTCACCGCGCGGCTCTTGGCCCAGTACTTCACCAGTCGGCCCAACTTGGCCACGCGATCGTCCAAGGCGCTGTAGGCTTTCAGCAGCCGACTGTTGTACAAGGGCAACAAGTTGTTGAAGGTGATGTCAATGTCCTGGGCAGAAAAACCAGAAAAACCATGGGCATTTACCATGGGGATTTATGGAGAAAAATCGTGGGATCATTGATAGCTGGTTGGTGGTTTCAACCCTACCCCTCTGAAAAATATGAGTCAGTTGGGATGAGGACATTCCCAATATATGGAAAGTCATAAAAATCATGTTCCAAAGCACCAACCAGGTGGACTGATTTATTAAGTCAATGATTATTGCCCCGATGTTTTGCAGTTAAGGGAGAGCAAAATCAATGGATCACCTGACTGGAAACGTTTGGTGATTTTCATGAAACTCCCCATCATCCATCAATAATGTTATGTTATATAATTACATACATATGTATATATATATAATATCATATATATATAATATTATATATAATATAATGTATAATATCAAATATATATATATATCATATTATATATAATATCATATATATAATACTATATATATAATATCATATATATAATGTTATATATAATATCATGTATAATATCATATATATAATATAATATTATATATATATCATATCATATATGTATAACATTATGTATAATATCATATATATGTATAATTTGATAATAGGAGGGACATCAAAATGAATAGATCCTGCGAGTACGTAAATAAAAAACCATACAAAACCTGCGGGGTTCGTTCGGGGAGTTTCGAAATGACGAACGGTGGATGCACCAAATCGGTCGGACCGATGAACCAGTTCCAAGTCCCCTTATGGAAAGCCGGGCATATCCATCCTTAATGGTTCATCTTGGGGTAAATGTAGCATGTACATACCAGTAATTTCAGAGTTTGCTATGGAAAAAAAAAACATTCTGATTCTGAAATAGGTAAATCGTTGTAAATCATCTATAAATGGAGGTTTCAATGGGGGTAGCCCCAGTTATCATCCATGTTTTTATAGGATGTTCCAAAAAATAGACCATGCAGCTATTGGGGTAGCCCCATGGCTTAGGAAACCCTGAAATGGTCTTGGCTGAGGAAACTCACCACATATCATCATCTTTAAAACTTCCGCACCCAAGAAAAGTGGGTTTGTCTGAAAATGGGCTACCCCTTAAAATCCAATGGCTGATAGTCATATTCTCCAGTCAAGTAGCCATTTGGATCTATTTGGATCTATTTGGATCTATTTGGATCTATTTGGATCTATTTGGATCTATTTGGATCTATTTGGATCTATTTGGATCTATTGGATCTGGTTAGCCCGTTTTCAGAGCCATTCCGAGGGCCATAGCATGGTCCACTCAGGGAATTTCCGCCAGGTCGCAACGAGCTCTTCGCTGCGACATTTCAAGACAGGCACTCGAGCGTTGGTCACCAGGTCGGTGACATAAATGCCTCAACCGCCCCGTCCGGGCCCCCGGATGGGGGATTGGGAAGATCAAACGGGGACTTCTTGGGGAACATAGCCATATGTACAACAGGGATACCATCTGGCTATTTAACATAGCCATGGAAAATGGTTCATTTATAGATGGTTTACCTATTAAACATGGTGATTTTCTATAGCTACATTAAATAACCAGAGGGATCCAGAGGGTATATGTGATGATAGAATGAAACCATAATGGCAATTCGAATGGTGAGTCATTGAAGAAAGGGAAAATCACAAAGAAGAGTGGGGATATATGCTGATGTTTAATGAAACTAAGTAACATATGTGTTACGGGGATCTATCCCTGATTTTGTGGCAATGTGTCAATGCAGATACTGATTAGCCCCCTTTCTTAACTTGTTTGGGACCACAAATGACAAATCCCTTCTCCCTATTGCTAAATGTACCCAACTATTAAAAACTAAGGTAGATTTCTAATTTTGGGAAATTTCAAATTGGTCAATTTGGTTTTTAATTGATCCCCCTTAGAAAACAATTTACGAATGAAGGTCCCACTTGACGGTTGCAACCCCCTTATAATAAAAACTAGTCAACACTGGGGTGTTTTTAATTAGGGTCCATCCTTTAAGATCAACATTTTTAGATTTTTTAAAGCTTTTAACTTAAAAATTAGGGGAACTTTCGAAATCCATTTTTTTGCAGTTATAAAAGGAATTTAATGGATTTTGAAATCGAACACTTTAGTTTTTTTTCTATTCAGGTTGTTAATTTAGTATTAGGATTATTAGGGGGAAGCTTCCCCCCCCCAATACTCAATAGCCCCTAAGATTAAAAGCGTCCCCAGGTGTTCATTCTTCGTGGGGGCATGCGGATTGCCCAAGTCCACCTTGAGCAGGGTTGCATCTGACTACTGAGTCTGAATCAAAGCTGATCATAAATAAAAAGTAAATCATGAAGATATGACATATCATGATATATCAAATATCTATTATATATAATATATATATATATATCATGATGATGAACAATAAATAAGTAAATCATGATAATTTCATATCATGTCATCATGTCAGCTTTTTCCTATCCATCTCATGTTCCATTTTCACCGGCGTTTTTTTTGGCCCCTGGCTCCACCCCACCAGTTCCACCAGTCATGGCACCCCAGTCATCTTCATTCTCCACCAACTTCTTTCCCATGAGCTCCACACATTGCGCTGCAGACTGTTTGGAGCTACTTCCTCGCTGTAGCGGCGCGGGCTGTATGGGGATGAAACATGTTGGACATTGCTTCATGAAAAATCAACAAAAACAGAGCTAGCAACTAAAAAAAATGGCTGAAAATCGTCATTGGCCATTGGCAAGTGTTGATCCCATAATTGCACATATGTATTTTGTGTTTCAACATGTTAGCATGTGAATTGAGATCGATCATGTCCAAAACGACTTAATGTTTCTCCCCAGGCTAAAGCAACAATTCAAAGCAGCACTGCCTCTATCCAAGAATTCATCACGCCACCAAAAGATTTTGATTGGAACCTTAAAACGATTTTGTTTGGAACCGAAAAAACAAACAGAAATCTGTTGGGCCCTCTGCAAATGCCAACTTCCGAGCGTCGTAATTCGTGCTGCTCTGGCAGAACGACTACCACATCCACATCCTCGAACTGAAAGATGGTGGGTACATGGACAGACAGAGTGATGGAACAACAAACACGGCCGTATGGGTGTGTTGGAAACTCGGGTACCATTGGGTACCTCGGTTCCCCCTGAGAAATTTCATATTTTAGTAGAGAAATTGTGGTGAACATTGATGAACCGGTGGATTTAGGGGCCGGCTGCCGGCTAGCCTATTGACAAATCCATCATGATACGAGGCAACACCGCGTTTGGGAAGAAGCTAAGAGGGGGGGAATCCACCCAGGCCCCTTTTTTCAAGACCAGGTGTCGCTGGAATTGGTCTCGAAGCCATTCACAGCGCTACCAAAAAATTCGAAGTGGGCCTCTGCCCCAAAGGTTCCAGAAACTGCATCACTTAATCGGCTCCTCAAGGCGATGTGGAGATTGGGCCAGGAATTGGCTCCATCTTTCTGTCTTTTGATCAGAAAGTCTCTCAAAAATGCTCAAACTATGATTTTCAAGTTTGGGATTCAAGAGCTCTGGCTTCGAACGTGTTCAAACTTCAAACCCCCAACAGTGTTGTAGCTGTTCGCCTGCCCTAGCGTCTGTGTGTATCAGATCAACTATTTAAAGGTTCCATGGGGAACAATGAGCTATTGACAACTGTTCAAACGAAGTACCTTGAATGGCTGGTTCACCATTTACAGATGCTTCACCACTTTGAACCCTTTCTGTGCGACCATGTGATAGGCTTGGGTCTGACAGTAGGATACCTCAACATACCCTAACAAAAATCATGGCTTTTCATGTTTGCCGTTTTGTGGGTATATACCGTAATTATCTTCAGACACAGCCCAAACCATCATCTCAAATCCCCGTTTCTGTGGTGAAATCCCCATATTTAGTGTGTGTGTGTGTGTATGTATGTATGTATGTATGTAATGTAATGTAATGTAATGTAATGTAATGTAATGTAATGTAATGTAATGTATGTATGTATGTATGTATGTGTGTTTCTTATACATATCAACACATATCAGGGTATGGGTCAATACCTATAGATACATGTTTAGTGGGTTATTCACATCCATAAATCCCAGCTATGACTTGGAGTGAACAAAAGGTACCAGGGTTTTGACCCATCCCCATCAGATTTTCCGAGCATTTTTTATGTCTTCAACACCCCAGGATATCCCATGCGGAAACTCGTCCTGGCAGCCTCGATCCTGCGCACGCTCTGGATGTCTGGAGCCAAGGCTATCGCCAGGTCCTGCAAAAAGTCCTCACCCTGCGTCTCCTCGCCAGAGCCATGGGACCAGGAGATATACCCTCTGGTAAACTAACATAACTATGGAAAATCACCATTTTTCATGGGAAAATCCACTATTTCTATGGCCATTTTCAATAGCTATGTTAAATTACCAGAGGGTATCATGGGGATATACTACAGTAGGGATAAAATAGGAATATCGGCCAACAGTATGATATGATCTTTGGGTGTCTCCGGAACTGATGTGTGCACATTGTTACCAATCGAATAGCCAGCTTAATTAGAATAGACAATATCATGATTGACCTTCAAATTTTGGCGTACTGTACCTTATTTTTGAGACAAACCCTTATCAGAGTGGCCGAAACTTACTTGGTGGACCCTGCTCCCACCTTGGATCTGCGAGTTGACAAGAACTGGAAGGCAACATTTAAAAAAATCTAGCCTCCACTAATCAAACATGGCAATAAAGAAGCTTATATTTATAGATATGTTTCCTATTAAAACCTCCATTTATCATTTAGTTTGGGGGATGTTCCAGCCACGTTGCCGGGGGGTGGCAAGAAACGCGCCGGCAAATCCCAGTAACGGTTTTTCACATATCTATCATCTATATATCTATCATACCCAGAGGTTAAATAATGATGGTTTCAACCATTCATTATAGATTTCCCATGATTTATAGAGTTTCAACCAGAGGTATCCCCCCCAAATATACGAGTAGCTAGTGGTTGGTGGCTGCCGGCCCTTCATCAAACCTTATGATTTGGGTCGTGAGGCGACGCCCTGACAAGGTCAGCAGGTTCATATTGGCTTCAGAGGTTGAGAGGTTGAGAGGCCCCTGGTCAAAAGTTAGTCTTAGTGTCATCCAAATGAGCAAAGGGAAGTGGGAATACTTCAGAAAAGTTCTTGATGTTTGCCCAAAATGGCTAAGGGAAACGCAACTCCATTCAAAAACGGCAAGAGCTTGGGCTTGGGCTATCTCCGATTTTTTGGACAAACCCATGTCTGGATCAACAAATGCTAAAATAAATCTGTGGTTCCAAAACGCCTTATATATTGACCCCCCAAGATGTTTGGGCAAAGCCTCACTTGGAGCCTTGGCGACCCATCTTTTAAAGCCCGTCAGAAACATATCCCAATTTGTGGCAGGAAAAAACCACCTCTCAACAGGGGGACCTTGAAAACTTAAAACCATAGGATCTCCTTGAAAAGAACATTCATTGTGGGGCGTTTTGAAATTTTGGAGGTGTCCGATTTCAATTTTTTCATTCACATATTAATATATAAATGGTGGATGTCAACTTTCTCCCAGAAAGCCGGTTCCACACAGGACGTCCTGAAGTCTGGTCTCCGGGAGCGCGATACATTTGAACGCCACTAACGCGGCTTCCACCCGCACCTTGAGCATCACTGGTGTCAAAAAGTGGGGTACCGTCCGGTAATCAATGGAAATTGTAGGAGAAAATGCCTTGAAATGGATTTTTGTCGGGGTGCCCCAGTTTCAGAAACACAGTAATATGGGATGAGATGGGTATGGTTCAAACATATTCAAGAATGTGGTACCCAAAAAGACTCTGGTTAATATCAAAAAATGCCCAATATAAGGTTTGATGTACCAAAGGATGGCACGGCAACATCCCAGATACCCAAAACATCTCAAAACATCCCAAAACGCTAGGTCGTCCAAAGGACAGAAGTGCATGGTGGCAAGCGCTTCTTCCTCAAAATCCGAGAAAGTACATTTCCAACTTCGCTTCTCAACTGCTCCTGTCGTCAGAGATGAAGCTGTGGTTCAAATTTAAGCACTAGACTATATAGATATCTATAATTAAAATTAGGTAAACTATGGTAGTACTAGAACTATAGATAGTTCTCCTATTTTAAACTAAAGTTATAAGCTATAGATATATCATGATGTATATATATATACCATAAAGCCTGGGTTGATTTTTTCAGCCAACTTCACCAAGTCGAAACAAGAACAGCAAGCTGGGGCCCAGTGATATGGAACCTGGGGGGAATGGCTACGCTATGCCCATTCGGGTATAAAACCATTACTGGTTGGTGGTTTCAACCCCTCTGAAAAATATGAAAGCCAGTTGGGATGATGAAATTCCCAATCTATGCAAAAAATAAAATTCTTGTTCCAAACCACCAACCAGTAATGATATATACATATATTATAATCCTTCTTCTACTGTTTGATAAACATATGAAAAGCCTCTTGGTTCGCTCTTTCAAGAGATTTTCATCCAGATTGATGACTTTCGATTCCTCCGGCTCTGATCTGCAACAAAAAATTGAGTCCATGGAAATGGTAACTTGTAGAATTGAACCAGAGTATATAAAAAGATGTAAAAAGGATGTTGAAACACCAACCAATCTTCAACTTCAAATTTCCACACCTGCAACTACATCAACTATGTCAAGAAACCATTGATCAATTTCTTTTGACCTTCTGGGAGAAAAAACACAATTGATCATAATCTATCCATTCTTTGTGAACATTGGAGACCAACCCAATCATGTCCTTTTGGGACACTAGAGGGGCTGGTTGGTATATCAAGTCATCATTTAGTATAGCTTCTTGAATGGCAGTTCTCCCTCAAAATCCCTCAAAATCAGCCAAACAAGAAGCAACTGCTCAGATCTATACGCCCACCTAGAAAAATCCTTACCAACCGAGAGATTTCAGGATATGCAGGGTATTGGTCAAACCTGCAATTGTCTAAAGTTTAAAGAAATACGCCAAAATCAGCGGACCCCTCAAAAAAATCGAGCCAATTCGGTGTGTTTCTCAAAATTGGGCTATACCCTTACTGTGGGAAACCCAATCGTAAACCTCCCATTTGGGGATCTTATAAAATTATAGCACCCATTTGTGGTGATTTTAGGGGATGGCTATTGGGTTTACCACCCTTGGTGTCATGAAAATTACCAGACTTGGATCACTAAACCACCCCATCTTCCATCGCGGTAACCAGGTGACATGGTGCGCCACGCAGAAAAAGATGTAGCCCTCAATGAGGCGCAGTGCCGCCAGCCCCGGGTCGCCACCGTCATAGGTGGTAGGCAGCCGTGTGGGCATCTGAGCGATGCGATCCAGAATCCTTGGTGTCGATTCCACGGTGGAACTGAAGGTCATGTTTAATAGACCAATAGGACCAATATTCAAATCATCCAGTTTTTTGATCGAGTTTGTTGAAGTTTCAGGGATATGTATGGATATGATGTATGGATATGTATGGATATTTGTGGTTTTTAGCCAACAAGATGAAGCATAGCCCATATAAAAACTCCATGAATGTTCCCCATGACCATTTCATTGGCACCGGGTTGACCGGGTTGACCCCATGTCCATAGTTCGATCCATTTCGTTGACCAAAAGACAGGTTTGGGGTGGTATATCCCCATGAAAATTCCCCACATGAAATTACCCAACCAAGGTTGACCCAGATTTGAAAGTGGGTCAAAAACCTGGTCCAACCTGGTCAAAATATCTCTTGCACATAATCCAACAAAACTGGGATGAACTCATACCGCCCATCCCCAGGCAAAAATTAGGAAGGAAGATCCCCATCGATGATGTTCCAATGCAAAATTAGGAGTTCCAGTTGCAGCGTTGAGGGCTCGCTAGGTGAGCCACCAATATCATAAATGTCCGGTGGGAGTCTCCCAGCCTGGACAATATTAGGATAGTTGGATGGATGAATGGTGTCTTGAAACCACGGAAACAACCAACCAATGAGATGGATTGGTAACTTATCAAAAGTTCAAAACTGTACCCATTGTCCATCAAAGCTCACCCATCAACCGACTTGGAAGTTCTTTGATTAAACTTTTGGCTTGCCAGCTGGGCCCTTGGAGACTGATATCAAGGAAAATGGGGGGATTAACCTATCTCTTACTGTATCAAGGTTTGTTCTACAACAAGTCATTTTGTGGCTGGTTCATCACCAATGGTCATGAAAATGGGTGTTGAACATAGTTTTTACCATGTTTCACCGTTGCATACCGTTGCACAATCCATAGAATCCACGTTTACACATTTGGTGAAACCTTCCGTTGCGCGGTGCCCAGCAAGGTCCAGCTGCTCCAGAATTAGAAGGGCCGAGCCAAAGGTGAACCAGGCGCGCAGTTGCCAGATGACCAAACTCAATTCCTCAGAGCTGGGACCGCCGGAGCAGTGGAATTCCACAAAAAAATGCAGGAAATCGTGTCCGACAATTGAAAAATTGTGGTAAAGAAGATGATGAACATGATGAACATGTAAATTACATGTCGATATCTATGGATATCTATGGGGCTTACTATCAGATATCATGTTGGGTGAATATGCCCAAGGACGCCGGCAAGGGAAGACAGGGCCCATTCTCATCAGGTTCTCGTACCACTCCCATACTCCAGGCACGTTCGATATGCAGGGTTTCAAGTGGGACCAAATCTGATTTACAGCACATTTGGATAAAACATCAATATTATATGTGTATATTATATATCTTATGACTATATACATATATGTATACAACAATATGATAGACAATATGTAACAAGTAACAAAAAACTCTGCTGTATTTACACAATATCTTGTCGACATAATTGAAATATTTTATTCAAAGTATCTATAGTAACCACATCTCATCAATCAAACAAAACTGATGCACTTATAATTCTTCATATATGAGCACATATATACATACCCTAGTCTTCTTCGACCATTTCTGTTACAGCCTAGGCTCTACCAGCTTTGGTCGACTATAACGGGTTTGCGTTCCACGGTGTCCATGGGGTGTCCACGGTCCAAGACATGATCGAACATACCAGGAAAATGTCCCTGTATGTCCTAGCAAACCCCAGTAAAGGCTTCTTGCGAACGACTACATCCATGCAATTTTAGGGTATATATATATGTACTTATAATATATATATATAAATATATATATATAACTATATATATAAATATATATATATATAATATATATATGTATATAAATATATATATATATATAGTTATATATATAAATATATATATATATAAATATATATATAAATATATATAAATATATATATATGTTCGTTATTTGTTTATATATTCTTATAGTATTATACAATTTTCTTTTGTATAGTCTTATAGATTCTTTTAATTTTGCAAGTACTGTATATCATAGTATATTCCTGAGATTCTGATCCTTTCACCCGAGATGCACAGAGTAGGTCTGACAACTCCCGGGATTCAAGCCGATGGACCTGAGAGAGAACTCTGGGTGGGTTGGTTCCCGGGAAAAATGACAGGAAAAACATGGAAAAGTCCCTATATTTGATGGGAAATATAGCTTAAAAACTCGATGGTTTCCGGTGAAGATTTTCCTGTCAACCAATCCAGTGAATGTGATATGATGTTATATGATTTGATGTGATTTGAATGGATGATTTCCCAGGATGTTCTATGATGTTCTCTGATTCAATATGAATTTGTAGGGTTGATAGGGAATATCATGGAATATCTAAAGGGAGAAGCATCAAAAATAGATGGGACAGGAACCAGCCATGATCATGATTTGAGACCCAGATACACCTGCAGATTTCCATGGATTTTGTCGTGCCTTGAACCACGGGTTTTTAGGGAACAGTATGGAATACCCTCCGGCAATCAAACGTGGCTGGCTGGAAAATGCCCATAACTGGGGTTTTAATAGAAAAACCATCTACTGTATCTGGAATTTTCACACATTCCGCGTCTCTGCTCAAATCCCAAGCAGTGATGTGCGAGATAAAACAGATAAAACGGCTGATCTTTTCAGCGAGGCGCCACTTCAGTGAAGTGTTTCAGGCTTTCTTTCAGCGCCTGCTGATCTTCCCAAGGGTCTTCCCAGATTCCTCTGCCATTCGGCCCACAGAGGCTATCGCCTTCCTTCTGTTTTTTTCTGTTCTCCTGTGGCGTGACCCCAACAAGGTCCCAGTGAATGCCTGTTTGTTTCACCATGCGATAACTCGCGTGCTGTCCACTTCCTCACAATACCAACAGCGTTATCCCAGTAACCAGATGCAAAAACGCTTTTAACTGGCCGTTCAACATCCTTAAGAACAGAATAGACATAAATGTTGAGGTACAAACCAGTGTTGTGAACCACGTGCTAACATGTTTGATCTTAGCTATCCTGGAGAGAAACCTAGCTCTTTATTCAAATGCATATATGCATATATAATTCTACCAGCAGTACCGCGCAAGGCGGCGGCGGCGGAAGTTTCAAAAATAGGAAACCTATAGGAGAGATTGGTGGCTGTGAACCACGGATGGTAGAGCGAATCCACTGATGGACCGAAAGGTGGTTGGAGCTGTGTTTTTTTTGGAGTGGCTGCAATGGTTGCAGTGGTCACCTGGTCGGTCACCTCACCCACAACTGCTGGATGTAGTGTTGTGTAGTGCAGCTGTAGTTGTAGTTGTAGTGTAGTGGAGTTGTAGTTGTGGTGTAGTGTAATGTAGTTGCAGTTGCATTTGTGGGGGTGTAACGAGTGTATTGTATTGTATTGTAATGTAATGTAATGTAATGCAATGTGGGGTAGGGTAGTGCAGTCTAGCGTAATGTAATTGAGTGTGGTGTGGTGTGGTGTGGTGTAGTGTAGTGTAGTGTAGTGTAGTCTCGCGTGGTGTAGTGTAGTGTAGTGTAGTGTAGTGTAGTGTAGTGTAGTGTTATTGAATGTAGTGTACTGTAGTGTAGTGGAGTGTAGTGTAGTGAGGTGTAGTGTAGTGTAGTGGAGTGGGGTGTACTGTGGTGTACTGCGGTGTAGTGCAGTGTAGTGTAATGTAATTAGTGTAGTGTAGTGTAGTCTTATGTAGTTGTAGTTGTAGTTGTAGTTAGTGTGTGTTAGTGTGATGTAGTGTAATGTAGTGTAGTGATGTGTGATGTCATTAGTGTAGTGTAATGTAATGTAGTGTAGTTGCAGTTGCTGTTGCTGCTGCTGTTGCAGTTGCAACTGTAGTTGTAGTTGTAGGTGTAGTGCAGTGTCATTCAGTGTAGTGTAGTGTAGTGGAGTGTAGTGTAGTGTAATTAGTGTAAAGTAGTGTAGTGTAGTGTAGTGTAGTGTAGTGTAAATGTAGTATTGTTGTAGTTGTAGTTCGTGTAGTGTAGTGTAGTGGAATGTAGTGTAGTGTAGTGTAATGTAGTGCAATGTAGTGTAATTGAGTGTAGTGGAGTGTAGTGGAGTGTAGTGGAGTGCAGCGTAGTGTAGTGGAATGTAGGGTAGTGTAGTTGCAGTGTGGTGTAATGTAGTGTAGTGTAGTGTAATGTAGTGTAGTGGTAGTAGTGGAGTGTAGCGTAGTGTAGTGTAATGTAGTGTAGTGTAGTGGAGTGAAGTGTAATGTAGTGTAGTGTGGTGGAATGCAGTGTAGCGTAGTGTAGTGGAATGTGGTGTAATGCAGTGTAGTGTAGTGGAGTGAAGTGTAATGTAGTGTAGTGTGGTGGAATGCAGTGTAGTGTAGTGTGGTGGAATGCAGTGTAGTGTAGTGTAGTGTAGTGTAGTGGAATGTAGTGTAGTGTAGTGTAGTGTAATTGAATGTAATTGAGTGTAATTGAGTGTAATTGAGTGTAATTGAGTGTAATTGACTGTAATTGCGTGTAATTGAGTGTGATTGAGTGTAATTGAGTGTAATTGAGTGTAATTGAGTGTAATTGAGTGTAATTGAGTGTAATTGAGTGCAATTGAGTGGACTTGAGTGTAATTGAGTGTAATTGAGTGTAATTGAATGCAATTGAGTGTAATTGAGTGTAATTGAGTGTAATTGAGTGTAATTGAGTGTAGTTGAGTGTAATTGAGTGTAATTGAGGGTAATTGAGTGCAATTGAATGTAATTGAGGGTAATTGAGTGCAATTGAGTGCAATTGAGTGTAATTGAGTGTAATTGAGTCTAATTGAATGTAATTGAATCTAATTGAATGTAATTGAGTGTAATTGAGTGCAGTGTAGTGTAGTGGAGTGGAGTGTAGTGGAGTGGAGTGTAGTTTAGTGTAGTGTAGTGGAATGTAGTGAAGGTGTAGTTGTAGTTGTAGTGTAGTGTGTTGGGGTGTAGTGTGGTGTAGTGGTTTTGCTCGCTTTTACCAAGGTGCACAATCCCTTGCGCCTGCCACGCGAAAGGACATCTGAACGTCCAAAAGTGGTCCGAACCTGGTGTGCTTTGTACATTTTGACTTCGAAATGGGCTTCGCGCCACAACGGTGTACACTTTTTCGACATGTCAACCTCCAAAAGTGGTCCGAGCATGGTGTGTTTTGTACATTTTGACTTCGAAATGGGCTTCGCGCCACAACGGTGTGCACTTTTTCGACATCTCAACTTCCAAAAGTAGTCCGAGTATGGTGTGCTTTGTACATTTTGACTTCGAAATGTGCTTCGCGCCACAACGGCGTGCACTTTTTAGACATCTCAATTTCCAAAAGTGGTCCGAGTATGTTGTGCTTTGTACATTTTGACTTCGAAATGTGCTTCGCGCCACAACGGCGTGCACTTTTTGGACATCTCAATTTCCAAAAGTGGTCCGAGAATGGTGTGTTTGTACATTTTGACTTCGAAATGTGCTTCGCGCCACAACGGCGTGCAATTTTTCATCTCTTATCTGGCCAGCCGGCTCCGCACCCGCCGCTTCAGCGAGCCTACTTTTCGACCCTCTGGAGACACAAATCATTAGAAAAACACAATGTTTCGCGACGTTCCTACCTTTTCGCGCACCTGCATCTTCTTTCTTCTGACTCTTTCTCGTCTCTGATCTTCTCTCTTCTTCTCTTCTCTTCTCTATTCTTCTGCTCCACCTCTGCTTTTCATCTGTCCATATTGTCGGAAGTTTGACTTCTAAACTTCCTTCGATAATTATATATCATATGTAATTAATCCATAATAATTGTACGTATACAGGTTCAATTTATAGTAAAATCTATAACTGGTTGGTGGTTTCAACCCCTCTGAAAAATGATGGACTTCGTCAGTTGGGATGATGATGGATGATGAACTTCCCAACATATGGATAAAACATGTTCCAAACCATCAACCAGTATTAGTATAATCATTAGTGATATTGTTATATAACCATTAGAATTACCTATAATGATTCCCTATTAACCATTATGATCTTAATCATTAGTGATATTGTTACATATAACCTGGTTTATATACCATTTAATAATGGCTTATATACCAGTATAGTTATAATATGGATCTTAATGATTATCATATCCTATAATGATTATTCCCTAAATTATAATTACATACCCTATAATGATTACCTATAATGATTCCCTATAACCATTATGATCTTAATCATTAGTGATATTGTTATATATAACCTGGTTTATATACCATTTAATAATGGCTTATATACCAGTATAATTATAATATGATCTGGTAATTATAACCATTATAGGTAACCATTAATATAACCATTAATATAACCATCAATGATCACAGTATATTATACCATTATAGTAATCCATAGGGATCATATTCATAATGATAGGTAATTACTAATGATCACAGTATATTATAATTAACCATTATGATCTTCATATGTCCTGTGGCTGTGGCCATCCCCGCCTGCAGAGCCCGCAGGAAGTGATCCACGAACTGCGCTGCCTTGCCCGCCTTGGAACTGGCAATGCCCCGCCGCGAGGGCAGCGAGTTCCACATCGAGGGAACCGCGGGTCGTTCAGCGCAGCCGCGCAGCGGTGGTTCCGCGCTTTGGAGCGGAGTCCAAATCGAAATCTGGTGATTTTAAGGCCTTAAAAGCCTGGAGAAGTGTGAAATTCTGGTGGTTTTTTAAGCCTTTTTTAGAAGATTCTTAGCTGTTTCCAGAGAATAAATAGATGTTGTCTGATGGTGTTTGAAGAAAATCGGAGGGTTTTGGACCTGACTTTCATGGTGGCATTTGGGAGGTTTGTTCATTTAACATCACTTAACATCCTTTGACATCGTTTGACTTTTGGCTATGGCTATGAAAAGCACAACATATTATATTGGTGTGGATCCCACTGTCCATGTTGCATCAGGCTGTACTCTGAGCTGCGAGACAAATTGCCAACTTGCTTGTCATAGACGGTATCATCATCCCTATTGTTGCTTGTGTTGCATATGAGACCAGCGATTCATAGGGGTCCCTAAACTCCTTGAAGCTGTTGATTGTTGCATGTTTCTGGCTTTGGCACATGATCGTCCTCTACATCTGCTTGAAACTGCAAAGCAGCGGGAACCAGAGAATATACTGGAGATGGGGATTTGACATGAAACAACTACCCAACTGGAGGGTTTCCCAAAATGTGGGTACCCAGGAAGACCCCCAAACATCCGAGTCAGTGGACCATTTTACTGTTGAAACAACCATGCATGGTGACTTGGGGCCCCCATTCGACAAAAAAACATCGATTTTTTGGGAGCTGCAGCGCTGCAGCAACTGGTGACTCCTGGGCTCAAAAACTTCATCATACCCTCCAAGATGTTCTCCTGCAACGTGAGGAACACTAAGCCAGTAAGAACCCACTGAGAAGCCACTAAGAACCAACTAACAAGCTGCAAAATTGGGCTGAACTGCCTAACTGAACGCCAACTCCTGACCCAAAAGAATTGGCTCTCACAAGGCTTAGCGGAGTCTCTGGTTGGGAACGAGGATAGGATCCCAGACTGCACCCGCGAATGTTTGGTGCCTTGCCACTTGCCCGGCTCGCCATGGTGAAAAGGTCAGCGGCGAAACGACTCAAAGATACTCGTCTGATATATATATATATATATAATTAATCATTTATATATGTGTAATTATGTATATTATATATATATTTGTATACGTTGGTCTCATTCCATGATGCCTTAGTGTAGACTGCGAGGGTATTGCAACCCAAAGTCTCGTACCTCTTACTGACCAGCTGGTGCAGCCTTGGTGTATGTGAAAGTGTGCACGGGCAACCTATATGAAAAATGTTGAAAACAACATGTCCCACGAAAGGAAATGTTTCTTCCTGTTGTCTTCTTGTGCCGGGTGCCACGTGTTCTTTTCTTTCGCAAAACCGCTATGGCTTTGATTCGGCTGGGGTCGCCCTTTCAATGACATTTACCCACTGGGAATTTAACATAGCCATGGAAAATGGCCCATAGAAATAGATGGTTTACCTGGGTTTACCTATTAAAAATGGGTGGATTTTCCATGGCTATGTCAGCCATAACCAGATGGTACGCATCTTGGGACTTGAGCAGAAATTGCCATGAAGATCTTTTACCTTGGATTGGAGCCGAAGGCGCCCAAAAACATTGCCATAACGTCTTCCCTATAGATTCCCCAAATGGTGGATTTATAAAATGGGTGTGTCTGAAAATAGTGTACCCCTAAAGCCAATGGTTAATGATCATTATCCCTATTAAATGGCTATAATTGGGAATATACCCTATTTTCAGACAAACCCAAATGGTGCTAGAAATGAATCTCCATCTCAGCAGAACAAAGTTTGCCATAAGTCCCAGCCATGAAAATTTGCCAGTGTCTCCTATGGCGTGTTGATTGCAAAACGGGTTTGTCTGACAAAATAGGGGAACACCCCAATACCTAATGGTTTAACAAAGCATCGTCCCTATTTAAAAGTTCCATGTTGCGGGGTATCACCTGACTGGTTGTTTCAACTCATTCCACAAATATGCACTATATATGTATATTACATGAATTATATGTGTAGCCATATCTATGTATATAAGTCTGATTGATTATATAAGTATGCATGTCTTTATGTCTGGATATTAATTATGGATCTATAGATGTCGCTATCCATCATCATCATCATCATCATCATCATCGCAAAGAGAGATGAACAACAACACACAACACCAAACCACATCAAACCCCACCCAGTCATCAACTAAATAGTGGCTGACAAACAGTGGCCGTATCACACTTCCCCAACCGCGCCCGTGCACCTCCTTGTCATTGACACAAAGGGAGTACAGATCCTGGGGCTCGACACGGCTTGGAGCTCGAGGAAACAAATAAACAATGAGTTCGATCAAAAAGTGAAGAATGTTGAGCAAATCAAAAATATAAAATACACTCAAATTTGTGGAACTTACCAAGAGAGACACATCCCATCACAATCCGACAAGCAAGACTCAGGATCAAAGTCTTTTGAAGTTGTATCATGGCCGCAGCTCGGACCTTATGAGAATAATTCAATTCATCCTCTCTTGCTGCAAGGACTCTGCAAGCCCATTTCCTCATGTTTCTGCAACACTTCAGTGCCAGCACAAGACTCAAGAAATCGGACTCCGCTTGCGAGAGTTGACATGGCAAGCAAGACTCAGGATCAAAGTCTTTTGAAGTTGTATCATGGCCGCAGCTCGGACCTTATGAGAATAATTCAATTCATCCTCTCTTGCCCCAAGGACTATGCAAGCCCATTTCTTCATGTTTCTGCAACACTTCAGTGCCAGCACAAGACTCAAGAAATCGGGCCCCGCTTGCGAGAGTGCACATGGCAAGCAAGACTCAGGGATCAAAGTCTTTTGAAGTTGTATCATGGCCGCAGCTCGGACCTTATGAGAATAATTCAATTCATCCTCTCTTGCCCCAAGGACTATGCAAGCCCATTTCTTCATGTTTCTGCAACACTTCAGTGCCAGCACAAGACTCAAGAAATCGGGCCCAGCTTGCAAGAGTTGACATGGCAAGCAAGACTCAGGATCAAAGTCTTTTGAAGTTGTATCATGGCCGCAGCTCGGACCTTATGAGAATAATTCAATTCATCCTCTCTTGCCCCAAGGACTATGCAAGCCCATTTCCTCATGTTTCTGCAACACTTCAGTGCCAGCACAAGACTCAAGAAATCGGACCCCGCTTGCGAGAGTTAACATGGCAAGCAAGACTCGGGATCAAAGTCTTTTGAAGTTGTATCATCGGACCTTATGAGAATAATTCAATTCATCCTCTCTTGCCCCAAGGACTATGCAAGCCCATTTCTTCATGTTTCTGCAACACTTCAGTGCCAGTACAAGACTCAAGAAATCGGGCCCGCTTGCAAGAGTGAACATGGCAAGCAAAAAATATACGCTCCAGTGACGAAACAAAACGGACTTGTTTTCCAAGTTCAGTGCTTTATACACATTCAGTTGCTGCCTTCAGTCATCGGATTGTTTTCAACTCCCCTGTCAAGGGGCATCAAACTTTATGAGTTTCGATTCAGCATCATTGCAGTGTCCGTCTCTTGGCCCCGACCGAGTCAAGCGCAAACCAAGACGATCAATGAAGTTGTAAGAATTTAAAACAAAGAACACACGAGCAAAGGCAAAATTGAAGCCACTAACTACATCATAGAGATCTAACAGGTGTGGTTGAGGATGAACTGCAAGAGACAAGACTTAGATGCTTAAGTTTCGTCACTAATCTTGGAATGTTCAGCTGCGTGTTCAAGACGTTCAAGGCATGACACAGCTATGACTTTCTGAATCTGCGCCATCATGAATCATGTTGCATCAAACATAGAAAGACAAGTAGGTAAAAAAATAGACGCTCCAGTGACGAAACAAAACAGACTTGTTTTCCAAGTTCAGTGCTTTATATACATTCAGTTGCTGCCTTCAGTCATCGGATTGTTTTCAACTCCCCTGTCAAGGGGCATCAAACTTTATGAGTTTCGATTCAGCATCATTGCAGTGTCAGTCTCTTGGCCCCGAGTCAAGCGCAAACCAAGACGATCAATGAAGTTGTAAGAATTTAAAACAAAGAACACAGGAGCAAAGGCAAAATTGAAGCCACTACATCATAGAGATCTAACAGATGTGGTTGAGGATGAACTGCAAGAGACAAGACTTAGATGCTTAAGTTTCGTCACTAATCTTGGAATGTTCAGCTGCGTGTTCAAGACGTTCAAGGCATGACACAGCTATGACTTTCTGAATCTGCGCCATCATGAATCATGTTGCATCAAACATAGAAAGACAAGTAGGTAAAAAATAGACGCTCCAGTGACGAAACAAAACGGACTTGTTTTCCAAGTTCAGTGCTTTATATACATTCAGTTGCTGCCTTCAGTCATCGGATTGTTTTCAACTCCCCTGTCAAGGGGCATCAAACTTTATGAGTTTCGATTCAGCATCCTAAGGAGCCACGTCCAGCAGATTCACCAAAAGACATGATCTGCATTGATGAGCTTTACAGTGGTTTGTCTGAACAAATAAAAAAAAAGTGTCCCCAAATCGACTGGTGTTTCTCATTTTTCTCCATTTACCCCAAAAAAAATCCACCGTCATGCCCTGTTTTCAACGGATCCAGGGTTCACCATCTTCGGTAGTCCATTGATCCACCATGGCGGTTCAGAATGGCCAAAACGTGGACATTGGACAAACCACCGGTGGGTCTAGATATGGATCCACAAGAAAGCCTGAAAATCACATATCTATCCCATAGGATCACATGTATGCTATATATGGTGACATGGATCCCATCAATATACCCCCTTTTTGTTAGCATATATACCAGCACCATGGATCCTATGGGTATGTGATCCCCAAGTTTTCCATGTCTAGTCTAGATATGTCTAGATATATCTTATGAAAGGTTTCTGGCTCCAGTTTTCCATCACGGGGATCACCACCTTGGACTTGCTGTGGCTCCTGGTCCAGGACCTCCGGACAAAAGGTCTGCAACAAGTTTCGGAGGA